TTTTTAGCAGAAAATTGTGTAATTCATAGAGTTATGAAATATACAATACATTGAGTATTGTTTTCCTAATTTCAGCATTTTATAACAAATCTAATTGTTAATTTTGAAAGTGGCTTAAAGATAGCAAACATTATTTACTTAATAATTGTTAATAATTAAATAGGAATTGTACATTTAACACTTTTAGACACACTTAAGCAGTATTTTTAATCTTATTCAAACGCAATCTCTTGAATATTTCAATTTGAATATAAATGACCTATTTAATGGTTTCAGAACAATCATTTTTATATAATTAGTTTATATTATGAGAAACAATAATTGTGTTATTATTTTATGATTTCTTAACAATGATGGAAATTGATGACTGACAGTTGACTAGAAATGCGAACGACGATTTGGAATCGATAATTTGTTGGGTTTTAGGGGGAACCGGAAGCGGAGGATATTTGGTACGTGACTTATCTGTAAATGAATTTCAAAAGCCGAGGGATGAGCTTTATGTATTCTTTTTTTTCTGTCTGTCTGCGCGAAAAACTCCGACCGATGGGGTTCGGATTGGGGGTGAAGTGTTTAAAAGAAATGTAAGGTGGAATGAGGAAGTGTTACCGAATTGATCGTCGGAATTAGATAAAATACCCCTTTTCGTTTGTGCACCGTTCGACGCGTATTGTGTTACAATGGAAAAAGAAATAGGAAGCGAGGAAAAGAGGAAAGCCCTTCTTCCTTATTTATATTTGATTCCGGAATCGATACGATGGAAATTTGTTTGCCTTCGTCGCGTTTGAGTGTATGAAATATAAAAACGCGCATCGAATAACGAAGGAATGGAATGTAATATATCGGGGGATGATGCTACAGCCACTTGACCCCCACCCGCCCGGAATCGGGAAAGGGGGCGGCTGCGGCGCGTTTCGACTCGTCTCCCCCAGGCCGTACCAAATCGGGGATTCAATGATGGTTACTTAGCAACTATTAATCACATTCTATCGTTAGCATCGGCTTACGGAGGATTTATTACAACCCTGATCTACGTACCTGCGTTTATTCTGTTTAAAGCCCCCTCCTCATTTTGCTCCTGCGAATAAATTAATTTATCCCCAAATTAAAAAGCCAATGCAAGTAAATCATATAACTTCAGGTTAAGTGCGAGCCTTACCTAATACGTTATTAATGATAATCTCAACAGCTTTTCCTTTACTTTTTTTTGTTCTTAGAAAACTCCAATAAAATGACTTCAAAAGAAATTTAACAAAATCAGTAGTATTATAACAGCGATTCTCAATATATGGGAAAATCGCATAATCATCCTGTGTGTTTTAACTTTAACTTTTATAGGTTTATTCCTTAAACAGGTTAAATTCAGATGATATTCAAGAGGAAAAGTTTTGAAACGATTATTTCAACTTCGAGAAGAAATAAGAAATTCTGAAGAAAACTTCAAGTGAACATTAAGTGGATACTTTAAAAGCAATTTGTGGCTCCTTAATTGCACATATATAGTTGACATATTTTTGTTTATAAACGATTTAAATTTATCAACTTATATGTAAAACTAATTCTTCTTTGTAAAGAAAATCAAAATTATGATCTTGATGTTAGATGATGTTATTAATTATCAAATAAAAAAAGTGCTTTATTCAAAAATAATGAAATATCAGTTCGTTTTGGGACAACCTTTATTATAATTGCTAATTGCTAATAATCGGTTTATACATTCATTAAGCTGATTTCAGGCTGGAAACTAATTATTACGTAATTATCCACGTACAATGCGAATTAATTATTGTTACGTCAGATAAGCTGATATTATGTTCTGTAAATGGATTATGTATATTGGTGCATTTTAAAGTCACGCTCTTCTTTCATATCTATTCATTTGGAGGGTTTAAATAAACAAGCAGATCGGGGTAAGGAAAATATGCGAAAGGAAAACATTTCCTTGGGATGTGTGTATGTGACTCCGTACGTTTTAATTCTGTAATACCCACAGGGCCTGACACCTCCAACAATGGGACCGTTTAATGTTTGAATGCAATAGTCCATGGGTCATATAAACACATCCTCAAGACCTGTCATCGGCGATGACATCCATTGTCAACATTTCCCCGTCCGTGCATCCGGTCAACCGAATATTTCGCATGTTCTCTGCCGTCATCCATGGACGAGGTTCGATCTGGTCGATTGGGATCCACCTTTGCGCGAGTCATCCTCGATTTCTCGGTGGGTGGCTGACAAAATGCAGACACATTTTGGGTGGTAAATTTTACAATTCATTCACTAACTCGTCTTGTTTTCTGGCGCTTCTGGCGCCTATAATAACATTCATTTACCGATGCATTCTTTGCTGCAATTTTGTTTTCTTGCATCAAAGTAAATAAGATATTTAACGGAATTTAACAGATTTATTTAACAAAAATAGATCACCAATATTATTATATAATAAAAATACTAAAAATTAAAATAAAAGCAACAATTATTATTTCGTTTTATTTACATTAAAATAAAACGAAATCTTTATTTTTCGTACGTATAATATAATTATAAACGTATAATATAATGTATAAACCGATTATTAGCAATTAGCAATTATAATAAAGGTTGTCCCAAAACGAACTGATATGGTAAATATCAAAATTACATACATTTTACAATATTGAAATATAAAGAACAATAAAATAATACAAAATATAATCGTATATAAATTTAAATATTGTGTGATTTCGTAGCATCTCAATTCCGACGGTAATGTGTAAGTGCGTATGTGCCAAAAATATTAAATTTATTCGTACGTTAAATGTGTTGTGTACGCTTATATATATTAGGTGAGATACATAAAAGTGTTAATGCAGCAGATGTTAACAACTATAATTTAAAATTTAAAAAAAAAGATATATTTTATTTTCAGTCTCAATTTATTATTAAGATTTTACAAATTTAATACATAATGATATAATAAGCTTATAGTCAATAGCAATTTTCAGCAGTTAATCTTTTTTCTTATATGTTGCAATAAAGATTATTATTTTAATTTAATAAATATTATTTAAAAATATCTTTGATCAATTACTATTAGTACTTCAAATAATACATTACAGTGAAATAAATTAACCCCTTTATATAATTGAAGCTGAAACATTATCTCGCATAGTCCGGGTAAGTGGTTCAGCTAATCTTCTAAAACCTCATAAAAATAGACGTATCAGAAATGTATGTCGTTTTTAGAATTTATTTTTATTTTGCTTAATTAAAATTTAGTTAGTATTGAAATTTTCAAACCGGGCTTTAGTGAATGTGAGGTATTGTTGTATATTACTATAAAACAATGAGATTACATTCAATATGATTACAAGAAATATGGAATTGTCGCTTAAGTTTACGACAGAAGGAGGAAAAGTAATAGCAAGATTTATTTTTGTATTCGAATAAAAAATAAATCGAGAATTTGAATGAATTTTCTATTAACTCATGAAAAAACATGGTAATATGAATGCATACGATTTGAAATAATATTATTGGTGCGGTGTGTGGATAACACATTTCGCGTGAAAGGGAGGAAGAAGTGCGAGGGTTTGGATGGAGGCGATCCTTTCTGGTCTCCCTTTGGCACAATGAAAGGATATTTTGCTGTGTGTCGTGTATAATGGGGAGATTTCACAGTTGTCGGTAGCAGGCGGTGGTCGACGCCGACGCCGGCGTCGCCGTCGTCTGTTGCATAAAAAGCGGAAGCGGTTGATGATAACACAACGAAAGAAGGACTCTCACACTCTGTTTCTGACACTAAGCCCCCCAATGGCTAGCGGTCACACACCACCATGTGCGAAACTCACTTGTCCCAAATACAAATCTAGATCGTACAAAGATAATTTTTCGATGGGTAAATGTGATTCTGGTAAATTTAATAAGCTGATCACAGTTCCATTTATAATCATGTTATACGCTAATAAATTGATGGAATATTTGTTAATTACTATGTTAGTAAAATATGACTATTTTCTCTGTTGATGGACAGTAATTTATTTCTTCATCCAAACGATTCAAACACTTTTAAAGTTTTTTAAATATGCTCATTAAAACTTATTGTTTTGTTGACTGTACTCAGCAAGTTTATGTTCATGGAATATAAAATATTGACGAAATTTGCAAATCGTGGCAGTCAAACTATCACCATTTTTGAAATAATTTTTAACAATTGTCTACCATTGAACTGCTGTCATTGTTTAACTGTCAAAGCAAAAAATGAAATACTGAGATAAATTAAGTTACAATAGGCAGAAATTACTAAAATTATATCTGGAAAATGTAGATTCAGTTTTAAGAATTATATTGAAATCATTATAGTATATACTTAAATAAATAATACTTTGTCCGTTCCAAAATAAGTGTCCGATTTTAGTTTTTTTTAATGGATTATTGAAATAACGAAATTAAATGTATCAGCAATTATTTATTTAAATTAAGCATAGAAAAAGTGATTAAAGTTTCACATTTGTCAAAATATTTTATGTAGTGAATAAGTAAAATTTTGTAACAATTGTTAATTTTGTTTTTTACGTTAAGTGCGTTAAATAATAATTTTAATTATTTAAAAAAAAAGTCTAAATATAAAATTTGTGTTAAGGTTCATTCTATAAAATGGAAATATGGAAGTTGCATGGTGCAATTGTTCTTTTGGTGGAAGAAAACTCGAATGAAACGAGTTTATAATTTAAATCCAATAAGTTAGAGAGTTAGCTAAAGTAGATTTATATTACACCTTAATGTAACCAATAGTAAGTAATCTACTTACCTCAATACCAATATGTGTATTATCCTTCTCACATATGATGAAATCATAGCATTGCTTACATAATGTTTATGTCACTAGAGGAAATGGGATTTTTAAATTAGGGCAAAACAGTTTCAATTTGTACACAAATTTATTAATTTCCTCTGGCCTCTCAAGAAAAAAAACATTATAAAAATCAAATTATGCTTTGATTCTTCTAAATAATTACTATTAGTTTAAATTATTTTTTTTACATCATTAATATTTCGTGACCGCAGACTTATTTCAAAATAAACGGTGCCGATTACCACACGATCTCTCTCACTTTCATTCTACAGTAAATTCAGTTACAAATAATTCCAACTATTCATAATATTTATTAATAAAATTACTTTTGTGTTTATTTATATAATATATTATATATGTTGATAATATTCACCGTTTTCAATAATACATTGAGATTCGAAAATTATAATTTCTCTGGACGCTCTACAATTTTTATGTCGTCCAAAAATGCTCGATTTATGTACAAGAGGAGAACATTAAGCTAATCGGTATATTTACATGTAAATTGATTTGTTTGTTATTAATATTATTATTTATGTTTTTCTTTCGGAAACGAATCATTATATCGATGTATTCATTTTGTACGTTTCGTTAGCTGTCCTCGGTTAATTGCAAAAAGTTTAACGAAAAAGACACTATTTATATTGCACGATCTTTCGGTAGAAAAATAAAAAGATCTCGATCATCTATCCTCGTTGCAGAACTAGTTTACACTACATATCACCAACACAATCATACCTAAATATGAACCTACTTTAATTTAATTTAATTAAAAATGGAAATATAATATATATATTCATACTAGTATGTAACATTTCATGTTCGTGGGCTAAGCTTTATAAGTGCTCGGACTTTCAGAGCTCAGCCTCAGAAGATATTTACAAAAAAATAAAATAATGAAATATGACTTTGGCGGCGACAGAGGCTCGATGAATTTGTCGAGGCCAAAGTCGCGTGTTGTTCTTAAACTCTCCGGTGTATCTACAATTTCTACAAGAAATATATACTGCAAGCAAACTACTGGGCTTCTGAGTATTTACAAGTAAAGACTTGTGGTCTGCTCGTACTACCAAGCCCTCGCCTGTAACGGCAAATAAGTCCCACACTGTTGTTGGTAGTTTGTGGCCTGCTGTCGGTATGCCATCGATAATCCTCCACCATTTGACATGCACTGGTTCTGCTGCTGAGGCTGACAAACCGACGATTGTTGACTCCTGCTGACCACATCCGAAGACGAGACTCCACCTGAATTTTGATTTGAAGATCCTCCGGAGCACGGTTTTCCATCCTTCACCAACACGGGCACTGCCACTCGACGTGGTGAACTCGACGACTGGAATGATACAATCAAACGAACAAACAAAAATTAGTACAAAATGAAATTTCAAAATTAAGAAGTATTCAAACAAATCTGAATGCTAAATTCTAAATAATTCATACATTCTTAAAGATAAGGAAAATATTAACAATTTAGTTGTTTCAATACAAATCTCCTAATTTAAGTATCTAATATTTACTATACATTTTTATTGAAATCTTGGATATAATTATTATTAATTTAATAATATTTCCGAACAAATTTCTCAATTTTATAATAGTTCTTGTTATTTACAAATAATTAATCCTTTTTACAATTTTTTCTTAACTCTTTGAAGGGCCAGAAATTTCTAAATTTCTAGACAACTTCGTCAACTAAATCAACATCGAATGGGATGGACTATCAAGATTCAACCCTTGCCATACCAACCAAATTAAAGATTAATTCCTATTTCCTGGACATTTTCTAGAAAATTATATTAATGTCCCACTAGGCATGTTCAAAAGGTAATACAATGCGTGTACCACCGTTCCTCAAAGATTTAAGCATCAATAAGAATTATGTGATTTCCTATTTGTTTTATATGAAATATATAACATGTATATTCTAAAAAGTGTGATTAAGTGATTAAAATTGTTATTGAAATATACATGTGAATCTCACCATCTAGTTCATATGTTTCAACAAAATAAATGTTCGTAATTCTTGTGAGAGTGAGGGAATTGTTGAGATGGTGCTCGGCCTTCTGGTCCGTAACCATGGTAGAGGCTGGTGACGTGGCCACTTGAAACGGCCCTCGTGTGTGTGCTCAAGCCTTCGCATGACGACGGGAATAAAAGAGGGCGATGTGGAAAAAGGGAACAAAAAAAAGAAGGAAGGGCACGTTTCGATCGCTACTACCAATCTAATCCGAAAACCAAACACAACAACTTTCTGATGGAGAAAAGAAATATTTAACTACGAAGCAGAAGAATTTAAATTTAAATCGTAATTTATAAAATTTAACGGATTATTGAATTAATCGTAGGAATCGAGCGCAGATGAAATTAGCAAAGATTTTTTTAACTACAACTGAAGATGAAAGGTAAACATAGGTGGACGGCTTGCAGCGAGGCCGACCGTTTCGTAAACATACGTAACAACAGGACTCCTCTAATCCGCTCGGCATCCAATTAAGATCTAACCTTAATCCATCGCGGAATCGGCGGTAAAGAAAATAGAAAGTGCGGCCAATTATAATTAAAACGCGCTCCCAGGAGTCTGTTTACTTTCGGGGAATGAGGTAACGGCTCGCACGTAACTCGAGGAAGAACTGAAGAACGAAGGGGAGATGAACGGTGGCTCGAGGAAGGTACAGTGTGGCGAAGAAGAAAAGAAATGCGAGGAAACTTTCACGCTCTGTGTAAACACGAAGACGTTCCATGCGCGCAACACACGATGAGCAAACACTGCCCAAATAAATATTTTACATCCATAGGAATTTCCTAATAACGACAGAGCTTCTGGCGTATTTCCATACAAGATTAAATATACGTAATGCGACATCTTCTCATCCTCGCTCTCTCACACGCGCGCAACCTTTCTACACACACACACAAATGCTTTACATAATACACATCACTTAAGTGATTTTATTTTATTTGATTTTTGTTTCAATCAATAAGAGCAATGGTATGGCTGAACTTAAGTAAACTTTGCATTAACTCTAAAAGCAAATACCAAATTAATAAGTTCACATATACATTCTTGACTTTTAAATGAACGAAGCAACTTTCCGTAAACCTTAAATTGTTAATTAACTATATTTTAAAATTAACGCTTTTTTCTACTTTAATCAGCCATTTTTTTTTCGTGTAGAGAATAAATAAGGATTTATTAAGAATATTTTTAACTTTATATTTACATAAACTAATAAAATAAACGTACATGAATAAACAAATCTCTTAAATTTGAATAACAATTTACAAATATTTAAATTTATAATTGATTAAGAAGAATTTTGGTGAATATCGCTTGTAGAAAATCACCAATACTAGGTAAAATAGATTCAATTTTTATAAAGTTCTAAATTGAAACTATCAATTTAAAGTGAAGTTTTAACAACGTGGATTAAACAAAAAAATGTCTGAAGTTCAATTAAAAAGTTAATAGATAAAAGAAGTTTTTCAAAATAAATTCAACAAAATGCGATTCGCGTGTAAATGAGGATGATTGTTGAAATGATTGATTCTATTTCGAGTTGTTGCAGTTGACGTGAATGCGTTGTGTAATTGCGAGCGAAACGTAAAAAAATTGGGACATTAACATAGAGAGTGAAGAACAAAGAGCTCTTCGATGATGCGCCATTGTTTCTCTCCATTACAGTTACATAAGAGAGGTCGTTTTCTTCCATTTTCCAATGGCTACATTTAACGGTCCATTGTGCGCAAACCTCCTGCACTCGTTTATGCATCATACATTCATTACGAAACAAACGGCGAACAAAAAAAATAAAGGAAATATTAAAAAAAAAGCGATGCAATGAAACACACGAAGCGGGTTGCCTCTCATTGACTAAATATAAATTAATTCAATACCATGATTAATGTCACTCCAGACAATTACACTTCCGACGGATGTCGTTCGAACATGATGCCTCGTTTATTCTTTGTTTTTAACTTGATACCCGCGCTAAACTTTTTTTTTTAATTTCGCTTAATCTGTTGTGTCCGTCTTAGCCAGGCGTTCACGTTATTTCAGATCTTAACTGAACGTAACGTGTATTTTGAAGGTAAGCGATTTATAGGAAGTGGCGTGTATTTTTTCAGGCCGGATTACTAATGATAACAATAACAAAGTCGTCTTACCTGATTGTGCTGGTTCTGCTCCGCCATTGCTTTCTCCTTGGCCTGTCTCTTACACTTGTACCTGTGATTCTGGAACCAAATTTTCACCTGCAACAACAAAACAGAAATTCCATGACCATCGAGGCTATGCAAACACGAGCCATTTCCCAAGCTAATCATTCGACTCCAGTGGCGATTTCATTTTTTTTTCCTCTCTTCATCTTTCTCTCTCTCTCACACATACACACTTTCCATATATCTCTTGTGAATTGGCCAATTAGCGGTTTTTCTTAAGAAGGCCGCATTGCGTATGCACAAGGAGCGCATTCTACATGCGGCTACCGTCTGGCTTTAATGAAGATGTTTGCTTTAGTCTAGTGCGCTACTGGGGATTAGCCACATACACACACATGATTTACACACTCCATATGCTTAGTTCTACCTAGTTATTTCTCCTCATTTTTGTTTTTGAATTTTTTTTATAGAGAAAAGCCTTGTTTGCACACCGCAAATGCATTTTCAAATTTCACTTAATTGATGGGAAAATATTTGCTGCGGCAATTAATGGAAATTTCAATTCTCGCTGCGAGAAGGGGCAGACCCATTACAGTAATATCAATCTCCCACGCTACAATCCTTAATTAAACTACCTGCCTTTTTTTATTTATTTGTGCCTTCTTCCGAGAAAATAATAAAGATACAAGCAAATTGTATATAATACAATTGCAATTTACATATAACAACTAGAAATCCAATGACTAGAAATTAGTGTTGATAATCCAACTTTCAATATTATTCGTGAATTATACAGTTGAGAAGAAACATTGTTGAGATGATGATTAATTAATGTTATAATAAGTACTTAGAAAAAGTAAACAATTATTTTCGACGATTACTCAGAACAGAATAAATGATGAACTAAGCCTCACTGAATAATTGAATCCAACTACGTCTTGTTTCTTACTATATTAAATTGAAATCCTCTTTGCTTTATTTACTCTGAATAAATGCTTCTCGTTTTCGACCGCAAATAGGGTTTCCACTAACGGTAAATGGTTAACAACAGTTACGGTAAAAAATTACCGGTTTTTACTAAAAATATTTACCGGTAAAAAAAAATCACAGTATTTTGCTGTAGTAGCAACTGAACTAAATATTTTCTATAATATATGCCTCTACGGTTTAATCTGTATAATTGCATTATTTTGATGTACTCCACTTTTTTAATTGCAATATTTTAAAATCGATTATTTAAATTTGATCAAATGTGAATATTAAAATATGTTGACGCTAAGTATATATCACGAAATGACAGTCTGCAAATAAACAGTCGTGAACTTAAACTCCCATGCGTATTAGATCGGATCCGAGTTATGTAACATGTTCATTATTTCCAGCTTATTCTGCAGGCGAAGCGTGCCGTTCATATTTTAATAATAACAATGGTTTTTCATAATTCCCAGCGAATGGGGGAACGACGTACTGTTTGTGCAGCAGGGGAAGAAGACCTGTGCGTTGTTGTTGCTTAAACGGCGGTCAATTAACATAATCCCAGTTTTATTGAGTCCGTGAGCCTCGGATTAGGGGAGGTTTAAAACGGGGATTATGACACGGCAACGGGCTTAAATATCCCCCCACCCCGTTTAGTAAACTGTTCCAGCATTCGGCTTTTGATTCGAGTGGCTCAGGTGAGTCACATGTTAAAAACGATTGTTGTTTGAACATGGTAAAATTGTGAACCTTAACTATTTTAGCTTTTAATAATTCTATATTATTTTCAATTATTATATCTGGCATACCTTTTAACCAATCTTTACATATATTATAAAATAAAATAAGCGATTTGAAAATTGTTATATGTATTATTTTTTTCAATATAATAACTGATGAATACGTTTCGTTACATATAGTAATATATTACAACTAATACGGATCTTGAATATTATATGCGAATGTAATGAACGTGGTAATTGTTCTGTGATCGAGGAACGATTGTGGGGAGCATCATAAAAAAAATCTGATAATATGAACATGCAAGCATTTCTGGACCAACAGCTGAAGGGCACGAAATTCGTATGCACACAATGGACCACTTGAGATCCGACGAATCGACCGGTTGCAGTTCCATCCCCTAACCTCGAGCATGTGTGCAATCATCATCATCGTTTCTGCCTGCCACCGTCGCAGTGATGATGATGATCATCATCAACCACCCGGCTGCGTAATTTACTTTACATACAACTGGCTGAAGTGTCGGGTCCGGCCCTCGGGTGTTCCACCCCATGTATCATCATCTTATCTCCCCCCGTCGTCGAAACGCTCAAACCGAGAAGAATGTTTACAGGAGGGACAAACGTGTTGTCCTTTCATTTTGTTACCACGGGGTGCCACAATGTTGCCGTTTAATCGACCGTAAACAAAATGGCGGATAACCGTTAATTATCGTACTCTTTTATTTTACTTACATTTTTCATTCACTACATATTTTATTTTTCTTCACTTCATTTACTTTATTAATTAACGTAGCTATCTACGTTGATGGTACTAATTTCATCAACTGTCACGCTACAAAGGCTATGTATGTACTTGTGACTGTTATTAAATTGCAATTAATTGTCAAAGCGTAGCCAACATCGTTGATGCGGGGGAGAATCCTGCTGCACTTCAATCGAATGGAATGGGTAGATGAGGTGCGGGCGTTTCCCCCAGTTTCGGTGGCGGAGCGACTACCCCATTTCTCCACGATTTTCGTAGTCATTTCAAATTAGTTTCCAACCGTTCGACGTTTAATTACTATCCAATTATTATTTACTTCAATTTATATTCGCCTTCAATAATAATTCCAAATGAAAAAAATGTTGCTTGAAAGTTTTTGTTTTCTAATGTTCGAAATATGTAAATATTAGCTTGAAAAGTTTGTCTTTGTAAATTCGACTTTCATATGTTTTTAAAGTTCAAGAAGGACACTTAACATCTATTAAATTCTTTATGTTTTACATTTTACGAAAGTTAAGCAAAGTGCTTTTATATCTTCTAATATAATTTCTACTCAAAATGATATTTTCAATTAAAATTGCTAAATATTTGCATGAAAAGTTTGTCTATGTAAATTTTACATCTTTCTGCTGTATTTTATGATATATAATTGAGAATCAGAAAATCTACTTCCTTTGGAAAGACCTATAGCCAATATCCCCTTTATTACAGTTTATTTATTATTATTATGGAGTTAAACCAAATCTATAAATAACTTTTCGATATATTAAGATTATTCTTATATTTTTATTTATTATTCATGAGATATTTATCCAAATAGTGGAAACTCGATTAACGAGCATTTCGTTTAACAAGCAAAATTAATTTTAAGAAAAATTACTCGCTTAACTTGCGACGTTTCGCATAACGAGTGACGATGAGAAGAGAACTCCAGGATTTCGCGCCTTCTACATCAATTTTTAAAACTTGTGTACACACACATATTATGTGTATTTTTTAATATGTTTAATATGTTTAATAAAAATCCCGAGCGCTCAGGGCGTAGCTTAAATGCGTATAAACAGCGGGGTACCGCAAGGCTCTGTTTTAGGTCTTGATCTTGCACAGAGGAGGACTATTGGAAGTACAATGCCTATGGAAAATTATAGAAGATTGTCCAGCGAAAGTGTGCAATCAGGATATGCAGTGGATACAGGACAATCCCAAGAGATGCTGTACAAGTAATAGCGGGAGTACCACCTATAGAACTACTTGCCACATAGAGAAAAGAGAAAGAGAGTAGACTTAGCAAAACGGATGCGAGAAATAGATTGTGGCAAAGATGGCAAACTTCAGAGAAAACTCATCCAAGAAAACTAACCATGGATTGTGCTTTTTGCAATTCTAATATCTACGCAAGGAAAGGATAGAGCAGGGGAACTCTTGTAATGCAAATTATTTTAGAACATATTGTTCAGAGGATCTTCTGCCCACACTAACTGATAATGATGAAACAATATCTGAGAGAGGAAATGATTTGGAAATTTAACGAATGCACACACACACACACAAATGAGTTTATCATTAATTTACTCGATTGTGTTCTAAAAAAAAGTTCATGAAACTTATTTGCAAACTTTAAATCGCATTTTAGATCATAAAACGACAAATATTATTGATAACCAAGATAGGTTACAACAAAGTTTATTAGAATATGCAAGAAAGCATAAATGACTGATAAATGCACTATACGAGTAAAAATCCGGAAATTTTGGAACGGATTAAACGCGTTAAGCGTATTCCTTTAATTTTGTTTTTCTTTTAATCAAATGTTTAATCTGTTAAATTTGTTTGCCTCATAAAAAGTCGACTTCCAAGTGGTTACAACGTTAAATAACTACAAAAATAATGATTGATTGTCAACAAATACATATTTTAAGAAGTTTATTATTTTTCAATGTTTGATTCGTGTTAATCTTCTATATTATTTATGTGTACCATTGTTAAGCTTACCTGTGTGGGTGTTAAGTGAATTAAGGAAGCCAGGTGTTCTCGTTCTGGAGCCGAAAGGTATTTCTGTTGCTTGAATCTTCTCTCCAATTCGTAGACCTTTAACACAAAAAGTACACAAATCATTAATTATTACAGTAATAACTATGAAAATTACCTATTGAAATTGAAACGAATGTCACAAATACATATTGATAAAAGTCATATATATTTTTTTTTTTAATTTAGTTGCAAAATGTATTGTTAATGAACGTTTTATATTTGGGGGGATGCTATTAGAGTGTCGAGCTACGGTTTATTTTCGGGGGTGACCTATGGCGTTCAATATGTTTAGCCGAGGGTCGCGCGCGTCGCCTCCCGCGATGCATCGTACCTTAACCGTCAACCAGCGCCCCCACCCCGACGAAAAAAAATAAATAAGAGGCGGCACCGATGGGCGGAGCCTCGTGATCTGTGGCGTTGTACGTACCTGTGCCTGTGTGAATAAGACACGCCTCTTCCGGCGCTGCGCGAGCGGAAATTGCATCGGTTTCGAATCGGGAACTGCGCACGCCCCGAGACCCGGCATCCCCGAATGCCCCATGTTTGCGCCTGCTGCTGTGCTCCCCATTAAACGAGAAACTGAAAAAAATAATATACAAGAATAAAATAAAAACGTAAATATTTTTTAGTTAGAATAATTTCCATTAAATGGAGGCAAACATTTATAGTGCCACAAATAAATAAACACACCTAACGAATGTAAAAAAAAAACTGAATATATTTTGTTAATTGTAATATAAAGATATTAAAGCCGACATTTAAAGTATTAATGAGTAGAAAAGTTAATAGAAGTTGATAGAATAGTTATATTTAACGCATGTAAAATAGTCGGTTTGAATTGGGTTTCATTAATACGATACAATTAACAAATAGCAAACAACAATTTAATTAAGTTGAGATGTACTACTTGAATTGTCGAAAACTATAGATATTATTGTAAGTTTATATATATTAACTCTTTTCAGCAGTTAATTTTTTGTTTTATTTTGATATTATTATATGAAAATATTTGATTTTCTTTTTGTATTGTTGCAATAAAGATTATTATTACTAATTTTTATTGATCTAAAGTGTTAACGACAGAAATATTCCTCCCTAATATTTAATGAAAATTGTAGTATTGTCGTGAAGCAAATTATTGTAAATATCTAACAAACTAATAAGAAAAGAAAAAAATGTAAATTATAAATTTTCTAAATTTCTAAACATGTGAACACACATAATAACTCAATTGCATTTAGTTAGAGAACAAAAACTGTTTTAATCAGCTGATACAATGTTAGAACAATAGGTGTAAATGTATTTCTATGTATACAAAAAAAAACATGTTTATAATCTCGGAACCAGAAAAAAATTATGTAGTGTTTAGTGTTTAGCACTTCAAACTCAGTAAATTAGAGATGTTTTCTCACAAAATTGAAGCTGCAAAGATAATAATGCTCGTGTTAAACGTAGCACTTTTTTTTAATACTAATTAATAAATACACACAAGTATAACAGCAACTGTTTTCAGCCTCAGTAATATAAGGTATGATATTAATATTTCAAACATATCAAATTTATTTTGACAGATAATAGACATAATTTTATTATGGCCTTAATTGGTACTTAACTTGAACAAAAAAAGAGTGTCGTAATTGCTGTTAATTATAGTTTTGAAACGTCACATGGATGTAATGCGTACATATTTAAAATACAGTGGAACCTCGCATAACGAGCAAAATGAATTGTAAGAAAAATGACTAGCTTAACGAGTAACGTTTCGCACGAGTGACGATTAGAAGAGAAGTCCAGAATTACACGCCTTCTACATCATTTTTAAAACTTGTATACACATATTATGTATATTTTTTAGTATGTTTCACTGTACGAGTAAAAATCCGGAAATTTTGGAACATATTATACTCTTTAAGCGAAGTTCCACTGTATTTAGTTTCTTTTATAAAATAAGAAATAATGTGAAAGTATTGAAGTATTTTATTATTACAATGCTCAAATGGTTTTAACAGATTTGATGTCTTAAAATCTTGTATTGATATGTTATTAGGATTGATGGGATTGCGTAGAGATGAGAAGAAATGACCAAAGAAGATCTAAATTAATTATAGGTTAAGTAGTTGAACGGACACAACCGTTTGTTAGAATGAATGCTAGTGGAGATCGTGTATAAATCATTGCCGGCAGTTCCTTGCGTAATGGATATGCGGCGTTGTAAATGCTGACAGGTCGGTGCATCCCCCAAACGCCTCCATAAATAATATTACAAGGATAAGGAGAATCGTATGCAAACAGGATAATATGATTGATTGCACGCGGTGGGCGCGTGCACGTTTTACTCGCTCTTCCATCCCCCTGACGCAAACAGCGCGAACAAAAAAAAAGCTTCCCCCGCATCTTACCATAATCGACGATTTTCCTAACAAATTTCGTGTTTGTTCTTTTCATTGTATAAAAAAATGTCTACAATGAAATTGTACATGATATATTCAATCTTGTTGTTATTTGCTCAAATTATTCTATATGGATGAATGACGGAAGCACTTACTCCACTAATATACATTTATGTTACTAATTTGTAATTCTTTTGAATGCAACAACTAAATTTGATATTTTATTACAATTGGGATATTTTCATTTATTGGCCAAAATCATAACGTAACGTCGTTTAAACTTATTAATACGTGTAGGTCAACGCTTTTCAAGACCTTTCATTTCTTAAATAAGTGTTGTCTAAACTCCCAATTCGTTCAATTTGATTGACATTTCCTTCGAAACTAACTCAAAGAAACATAAAAATCAGTGGAGTTGATCATTCGTTATGGTACGATGCTGAATAACGATTTTAGAATGTAGATTATTTTGAAATCTTTAATTTTCTCATTTGAATTAACTAAAATCCCGTTGTTAGTTAAACAATACAATTGATAAAAATTACATATACGCTTCTACATAGATACAAAAGACTATTGAGCGCAGTTCGCTCTAATAATCATTATTTTTTATAGAAAATATAAAAATATATTAACTATTGACTATTCTTTTGACTTGGAATGATTAATATATTTTTAACTGTTTTCATCATAACTAAAAATAATTAAGAAATGCTTATTTAAGTTTAAAATGTTGGTATAAAATATGAGATGAAATACAAATATTTTCCTAGTCCTTAGATAAATTGATATTTTATTACAGAAAATTATATATTTTTAGGTAGTATTAACTCTCAGTTATATGTGTCATACATTTGCAACAAAAAACGTAGACGAATTATTTAAAGTCCGATCAAATAAAATATACCAATGCCGAGTTTTAAATAAAATTTTATTTGGAAAAAGATTCAAAGTAGAAGAAAGATAAAATCTTGGATGAGTCGGTGTGTGTTTTATCGATGCCTGCGGATTTATTTTCGGTCTGTAATTGAGTGTTAAACGAGGTTTTCCATATCGGATGTCGGTTTCACACATCAAGGGGTCTCCACCCCTATTGCTGTTGCGTTGAGCTGTGAACTAGATAAGACCCGATGGTGCATAGTTCGCACGCCGACGGCATCAGGTTTCAGTGCGGATCCGGCCTCCTCCACCGACGCCGCCGCCGCTTGCTGCGTTCACTCCAAAACGCAAATATAGGAAACGCACACGATCCTAAATACCGGGGGTTATTCTCCTTCTCTATCTCTTTATCTTGGATTCCCGGTATCAATTACATCGTCCCCGCATCGGAACACTCCAAACTTGAAAGCATCGCATTACAAACCATAGAAAACGCTTCAAATTAAGTCAACTTTTGTAACTTCAAGATAGGTTTTATTTACTACGGTAACTGTTATTTCTTTCTTCGTCAATTTTTGACTACAACATATATCGATTACTTAAGTTAAATGCATCTAGTGAAAAACAATAAAGCCGTTAGAAAAATAACCGCAAACATAGAAAATAATAATAATTTCATTAAAATATTCACAGGATTTTAATCACTAATTTCAAGAGCAACAATTCAAAATAAAATCGAAAAGATTATTAGCAATAAATTACAAAATAAATCAATCTTTCATTTAAATCAGAATAATTCTTAATTCTGCGGAAAGACTGTTTTTAATTCTTAATTATTAATAATGAACAACATTTATTGCATACCTTCATACTTCAAGTAGCAAATTTGAAGATAATTTCAAGCTTTCAAACTAATTTTACATTATATTATAATTATTTAAAACTAAAAAATACTTTTTTTAAATTAACAGGAATACTTCTGATATTATATTATAATGAATTGAAATAAAACTTATTTCTCTTGAATACATATTAGAAATAATATAGAGAACTATATTCATTTATAATAATGTACAACTAATTATTATTTGCTTTATTTTTTACTTATTAAATCTATTCATTTGCGTGTTTCCATACACTTTTATTCTGTAAACGATTATAAATTTCAAGTATTTTAAAAGTGAACTTTGATTATCGCTATGTAAGTTATAAATCTTTGAAATATTGACATTTCAGTTGATTCAATTAATATTAATTTTTGATTACTATGATTAAGTTTAGTATTTGGATGAAAACTGAAGTTATGAAAAGATGATTTCATATTAGTAATCTTTCATTTCTGATGTAGGATATTCACGTTGGTGACAGTGATTTTGGTCGCGCTCGACGAAGCTCCTGCATTGTGTCCAGGTGCTGAAAAATGTATAAACGGCGTACATATTTCATGCGTCGACGAGCCGTTGTTGTTTATTCAAGCTCCTACTCGATTCTACGTTTACAAAATGGACACAGGGACATTTCCAAAATAAATATTTATTTTATAGACGTTCTCTTTCAATTCGGGGGCTCTCCCCACAAACACACAGAACCTCGTCCTTTTTTTCTCCTTTCCTCTTTCTCTCTCTCTATCTCTTTGTCTGCCTATCGCATCTCGTACATATAAATACAGCTCGTGTAAAACCAACATAATCCATTCCATCACACGATGAAATGGAATATGTTGAAATTAAAAAAAACTGTAAAACTATAAAATTTAGTTTCTTTAAGATTTAATTCATTCATTTGTTCGAGTTATCTTAGAATACAAGTTTTTTATACGACGATTCGTCCTATTATTGAACGGAAACGCTGAAGAGAAATAAAAATTGCGGCGGATTTTTCTGGACGGTATCAATGAGATCAGTCAGCGCTTTGTTCGCCGTTTCCTTTTTGTTTCTCGGGACCAAAACAAGCTGAAAAAGGAGCGCGCAGCCTTGTTCTTCTTTGCTACGTCCGTGTATGGATCTCGTCAGAGTTCTTCTGAGATGATCACGATTATGATGCACTACGAAAGGGCACAATGGCATCCATTCATTTAGGTATTAATCGCGGAGAGCACTTTTATATTAGCGGTTCCGATTCAATAGTTTGTTTGTGCACCATATAAATAAATATACCTCAACATACCATATTATATAAGATGTTAATTATAACATTTTAGTATTATTTTGTCGAAAATATATATATTTACTAATCACTAAGTCAGCTAACATCCAGGACATAGTAAACAAATGTATACATTATCATTTTTAATTTTAATTGAAATAAAACAATTAATTTATATTTATTATTGTTCAAAATATAAGAATTATGAAAATTGAATTATATAATGCATAATGTAAATAAGTATAATTTTAAATTATAATATCAAATTATTATATTTGTATCAAAGCTTTTGACATGCTGAGAATTATTAACGTATAAAAATTGTTGATATAAAATTTAACAAAAAAAATAACACACAAAGTTCGTGAGTATTTTTAAAATATTGATTTGATTTCTTTTGTGCTAATCTTATTTTTTTTCTATTGTAAAATAAATAGTTTATACAATTTTAATTAGTAAAACAGTTAAGTGGTAAATGTTGGTTAGCTGGTGATTGAGCAAATGATTGATTGAGTGAATGTTGCGAAGGGGATGAGGCCGGAGCCCCAACGGTTCGAGCTACTGTATTGTCATATATATTGGGTTTGGAGTGCAGAGCAAACACACATCTAGCTTTGCTGTATTTACTAAACTGTCAGATACTACTTTTAAATACGATTTCCATCTCTCTCTCTCGCTCATTTTATGTATACTCTCTCTTCCCCCTTATTTTATGTATGTGCTACTAACTAAATTCACGGTACGTGTACATACAGACGGTAAATAATAATTAGAAGACAACCATTTTCGAAGACATTCAAATATTGATTACATGACATCAATTACTCTTTCAAAACGGTAGAATCTTATTATAAATTCAATCTGATTCTCATAATTTTTAAATATAATTTTTAATATGATGGACAAAAATACGAGTTAATTTTTTCTTTTCTTTCATATGTCTTATACACATATGCCCAAAGATTTGAAGTTCCGACACTTATAAATATTTGTTCAAAATATTATTTAGGCGCCTAAATCGCTCGGGATTTTTTTTTAAGTAGGGAACTGCTCAAACAATTTTGATAGCACCTGACTCAAATTTGTATTTGATTTGAAATAGATAAAATCATAGAGCTCTAATGAACAGTTACAAAAAAAAATTAGAGCATTTTTAGAAAGTAAGGAATATTTGAAAATACAAGCACCCTTATTTATAAAATTATATAAATACTTATCTGCTTGCATCTATAAATCAACCATATATGACATTACAGTAGCTAAGAGGACGGCTTATTCCATAGACACCAGTCAAAAACAAAAATCGAATTGATACATAAATCGATCAACTTTTTATATTCTGTGTAATTATTGCTATAAATATTATTATGATTTTTTCATTATTTATTAGAATAATGCTGTCATATTCATATTGAGTCATATTCATATCCTATTTCAATAAGTCGATATGATGCACTTACTTGCAAATCTGGGGTCGGCTGCTGAGCTTTGGTACCATCCTGGCGAATAGTGGGGAGTCAATCCTAGATTCTCGGAGACGGGACAATATTGGCCGCCCCCGAACTGACCCATCACCGGATATCCGCCGTTCATTCCGCACGTGCTCGAACCGCCTCCGATAGGACCGCCGCTTGCACCAGGTGAATTGATGCTGCTGCCACTCGAAGTGGATCTAAATCGATTGAGATTTACTAACCACTGATCCGAATCAATCTGTGTTTTGCTAATAATAATAATCGAGAGATTGGATTGCTCATTTGTTTGCAACACCTCACGTTTATTTAAGCCTACCTGTAGGGCGACGGTGGATTCGCGGCCAATTCCAACTTGCGATAACTCTCCTCGATCGGGCTGAGGATGTCGGATACGCTAAACGGCGTGGAATGATGTAGTTGCTGCAGATGGCTTAACACTTGGGGACCTCCTTGATGATGCTTGGGGCTCAAGCTCATAGCCAACTCGACGCCATTGAGCTCGGGCAGCAGGCCATGAAGGTCAGTCCGGTCCTGGACAACGGGACCTTCCCCGTAGTTGCCACCTCCAGACATGGACTCCAGGTCCGCGATTTACGATTTCCGTTTAGCCACAGTAATTTCGGAGACACTAGTATATCTAGCACATTCGATCGTAGATCAGTCACACGCGTTTCTCGCAATTCAATTCAAACATAAACAACAACAAAAACAGAGATGAACGAACAAACAGCGAAAATAAACTCTCACGGTGAATCCACGGCGACAGGTCGCGCGATGCTTTCTTTTGTTTTGTTTTGAACTCTTGTCCGGTGGTCGCAGTTGGTCGCCACTAAAGTTCTTCGGGTCGATGCGATATCCGAATTCAATAAACAAACTGACTAACTATATAAATAAATCAGTGATCGAGCTATAGCACTCTTTAAAGGACTCTTGATGTAAGACTCTTTAGCTGCAAAGAGCGCTTAACTTGCCTAAGCGTACTCTTAGAGTGCCCTCAAAGTGTACATGGCACTTCTACTCTAGTCCCACTGCATTCTGGGTACTCGATTCCACTTACGGGCGGTGCTCCGTCTCTGGTAGACCAATCGCGACGTTCGCTATGCGTCTGTCACCACGCCCATCCTTTGTTCTCCCACCAGTCGTAGTTGTCCGTTCCACCAGTGCGCGTTGTAGGACGCAGACGCTGGGCGGAGTCAACGATCCATGATGGAGAGGGAACGATCTTTCACAATGATATTGTATATTTATATCGTTTTATTGGGCATATTGATTTGAGGCTAGAGAGCACTTTCCAGTGTCGTTCTGATTCGAGCAGCTTTTTTTCCATGCATGCACTCTTTTTACTCTGTCTCTCTTGCATCCCCCCATCAACCCACTGGTTCCTATAATAGGAGAACGACGAGATTTTCGAGGACTTTGAATTACTTGCATCCCCAAACCGCGCACTTTCGTTCCATTTATTTATTTATATCCGTCTGATCTTTGCTCCTTGATTTTATAGATCAAGATAGATAATAAAACCAAATCTGTTAATTTATATGATTGTCATATAAATAAGTTTACAAAAAATATACTTATATATGTTTATAATATTTATTATTTACTCATATGAAAAATCATCACAATAAATACTATATTTGATAATTGGGACCAAAACTTAGAAGACCTAAGTTTTCTCCTGACACTTCGGTGTTGGATTATTCGAAACACTAATCGTAATTTTCATGTGTACACTTTTAATCCATGTTAAACATTTTATAAAACACTTTTCTAAGTTATTAAGAGGTGGAGTGTAGTTTTTAATTATTTTTCCTTTTTCTATCCTGTGTTGTTGTTAAATATCACCTCGTTTGTTGGGACGTAGAGTGGAGAGAATCGTATGTAGGACGCGCGTAAAGGAGAGGCCTAGTGATACGAGCACTCGTTGGTCTCTAAAGGGTTATATAAGCTGTCGGTCAGCGGCAATCAGCAGGCCCATGAAAGGTTGTTAGTCGGAGGGACCTCCAGAGATGATGAGGACTGGAGAGGTGCTCCAGTTGCAGCGCGGACTCTGCGCGCTGCTACCGCTGACGCCGCCGCCGCAGATCCGATGGACCACATCTCCAACCACACTCCGCACGTCACCTATACACAATCAGACACTCACTCGAACCTCTCAGTGATCGCAGTTGAAATTCCACTCGTGTTCGACAATACCGAAATTTTAGACTATCGGCAAGAAAAACACGGGAATATTTTGGTGATAGTGTATAATTTGTTATATAATTATACGTTATACATAATCAATGTAATATTGAACTTTTCTTTTACGTGCAAATTAGAAATATTAATTAATTTATGACTTGAAAATAAATACATGAAGACTTTAAAAAAACGAGACATTAATGATATACAAATATTTAATGAATATAATTGACAAAAATTAACATTTATGAACTTTTTTTTTAAATATTTTTATTACAGCAATTTATATAATACACATATTTTCATTGTTTGGTCATTAATTGTAATTAAATGTAATTCCAATCTATCTTTTTATATCCTAAATATGATCTATGTCGTATAGGTTATATTAAATAAGTAAAGATATGTAAAGTTAGGTACAATATATAATATATTTACATATAAAAGTAATGGTTTTCATCGAGCATGTGCGTTAATCTATCAATGATAGATATCAAATGCGATTCAATGATTCAGTGAACAGTGTGAAAAGTAGACGCTTATCTGTATGTTCTTGAATAATATTTTGTTAATCTTTGATGTACGATCAATTCTTCGGCGTAGAACTAGACGCATTACAGAACTATTTAGATCGGTAGCTGTCGATTCGAATTAGCCGTGTTCCGGATACTGAGTGAGCGCACCATTCACGTCCAACGGGGCACGGATAATACGCTTTAGTGGTTTTACTCCACCAACAACAATGGTTACATCGGTTGCTCCGACCCTTCGTTTATACAGAGGACTTTAAACTGGACCATTGCGTCTTTAAATCTTTGTACTCCTGAAGAATGTAAGTAAAATTAACGGATTATTTCAGATATCACTGAATCGACCTATTCACAAAATGCACTTTTAATTCAGGTAACGTAATTGAATATAAACTGAGATTCAGATTAGTATGGTAATGCGGACTAAAAGTGTAAACAGCGTTGCAATGTTAAACAGATGGAATATGAATTAAATGAATTTTGCTGCGTTTGCCAGACCCCGGGGGAGCAGCGCCTACTTCGCCATCTAATATTGACTTAGAGATTCGCAATAAAGCATCTAAAACAGAGCCAAGTGCTCTACAAACAAACGGTCGGCTGCTCAGCACCGAAATCCTGCACGAAACAAATGCTAAATCGTTTTACATTTTCTTCCTCTCCCTGCAAAAGTATATCTCTATCTGTTCATCTCCATTTTTCCTTTTCTCTCCCCACTAGCGTGCACTTCCGTATAAATTATAGATTAAGGGATTTCGAGTGACTGCCATTCAAACGGATGTTCCAGTTCCGAATGGCCACTTACGTCGTTTTTACATAATGGACAGAAGCACAACAACACATACCAAAATTGATGAGAAGGACAGGTACTTTCGGTGCAATACTATACGATGATGCACTATCCATGGATGGCATTGTGCAAAATTAATCCTTATTTAATATTATTACTTACAAAACATTTACTTTGTTTCCGGGCGGACTACCTACAATAGCAAAGAATATTGAAAGGATGTATCGATGCTTCATGTACAAAAAATTCTATAGTAAATTACAATTACTTGTTTAGGTGGTTAATTGAATCCTTACGACATAGGATTAAAAACTGTACCATCACGCAATACTGAATATAACAATAATAAAAATATGCATAATAATAAGAATTTGTGATCGTCATAAAATCATATTTATAAACTTATAAACAATAAACAATAAATCATAATCATTTTAATTACAATATATTTTTTAATCTTCCAAATATTTTAGTTTCAGGCACTATTCACATGGCACTACTTGCCAGGTAGACTAACCTGAAATTAAATAAATCTACCAAGTGATTCACATCTGTACTAAATCTATAATTTATATAACCTTAATATATAGTGCCATCTGTGAAGAAGAGACACAAAACATTTCCTGCTGAAATTGCAAGATCAGTAGATGGCGGTATTTCAGCAGGATACGTATTACGTAAATGACGTTGCTTTACTATAGCAGGGGTTCCAAACTGTTTGCTGTTTTTTTTACCATTAAGGTATTATAATTAGTTTATGACTAATGTTCTAGAATTATTATAATTATATTATATATTATAATTATATTATTCAGACAAATCTTCGTTACTCAGACAATTGACTTCTTAGTCATTTAAGGATCTCAGTTTGACTTCTTTCTGAGATGGTATCTTGTGTTCAGACCTAAAACTATATGGATATTTACAACGTGAGATACACATTGTCTGAATTTGCAAGACAAGTATATTTCTAAACAATTATTTTCATAAAAACAGTAATTAACATGGGATTATGCATCGTAAGGTGCGAGTTGAGTTGCATAATTGCAGTATTTTTGTAGAGTGGAAGGAACAGGATGATTTATCAAAATGAAAATAATATTTAATAAAATACAAATGACTATAAAATATTTTCTATATTGTTTATTGTTTTACACTTTTATATCTAGATATTAAAAGAAATTAGTTAATACATCTGAAGGTAGATGGCTGCTGATAAAGATGATGTAACTGAAGAATCTGTTGTTTTTTAATTAATTTGTGATTATAATTGAATTACTTAATTAAAATATAAAATTATAATTAAATATAATTTAATTTCAATTGTTTTTTTCTATTTTTGAGAAATACATCAGCGCCACCAATGAGCTTCGTGAGAACAAGTGTAACGCGCGAACAAGCTGATTTTCCCTCCCGTTCCCCCCTGACATATTCGTTGCTTTCTGTATTTTATCATGGGTTTGCATTGGTCCGTTGAGTGTCAAAAAGTAGCTTTGCGTGTGTTCGTTTTATTTGCTTTTTCTTAAACATTTGCTAAATTATGCATTGTATTATATTTCGGTTGAAAATGGATGACGGAAGATAGTGCGTTGGAGGCGTTGAAAGGATTCGATTTTACACCTTGCTTGGAATCTGTGATAGTCAACAAAGTCTAAAGACAAATTGAAAGGGACATTGCCTCCCTTTACACTAGTACACCTAAGAAGAAAGTTATGGATATATCTTTCCCGAAGTATTTTGAAGAGTGTTCCAAGACCTTCCAAGATAATGATAGTGGCTATATGTCGCACCACCAGGAATCCAACAATTCAGACTGGCAAGGGATACCAGTACCTGCACCAGCAACTACAGTCAGTGAGTCTTTATATTTAAATGAAGATGCATTATTGGAGAAGCCTGAAAGTGTGACAAAAACTGAAGAGACAAAGGCTGTCTATGACGAATATTCTAACCAATCATATTTTCACACAATAGTTGATGCTTCTGTAAGTACAGTAAAGACTTCATTTAGCGGCATGGAAGATACTGATGCTTCGTTTGAATCTGAAACATCTCCTATTTTAACTGAGCAGCAACCAATAGTTTATGTAGTGGAAGAAACATTGGGAAATCAAGACAATTTTGCAAATTGGTTTCAAACAAATAAGGAAACAAATAACTTTACAAGCAAGCAAGAATCTAATACTTTATTAATTGAGTTTAAATCACCAGCGAAGCAGTTATTAGAAAATGAACATAAAATTTCTACACCAACTAAAATATGTGACATAAACAATCAGAATGATTTTAAGAAGTTTAAAACTCCCACAAAACCAGTGGACAAGAAGTATAAAACTCCTACGAAAAGAAATGCAGAAAATGATTTTAATGCAATAAACTTAACAGAAAATGTAGTTAAGACAATTTCACCAAAAAAGAAAAGGAAAAGGTCAGTAACACCACAAAAGAAAATTGAGTTACCCAAAAATATTGAAAGGAGCCCAGATTTATTCTCTGAGGATGAATTTATTTCACCTGTAAAAACACCCAAATTTCAGAATACTACTGTAGCTGAAAAGTATGTATTCACCAATGACAAGAAATTGGTTAAAAAAATTGCAGGCAGTTTAAGTGGTGTTCTTCCACCACCTAGTTTAACCACCAATCATTTAAGTATTGATGAGATATTGAACAAAATTAAAGAGAATGATAGTTATTTTTGGTCTGATGCTTCATGTGAAAATAAGTCAGAAACTCTTCTTGTAAATTCAGGATTGGATGTTTCACAGGAGCAAAAATGGCCTGATATTTTACAAGTCAGGTATCATGGATTGCAGTAAGTTTGTTATTAAATAAAACATTTATTTTTTATTAAATTTTGCTATTCTTTTATAGTTATAATTGCAGTAAGGTCTCTGAAGAACTGGAATCATTATGTATGAAATATAGTCAGAGATATGTGGGTTCGGAAACACAATCAAGTTGTACTGTCTTTGATAATACAATGTCTAGTCCATTTAAAAGAAAGGCCAATAGACTTAGATGGACAGCCAAGTCACCAGGAAGGAGATTAAGTCATTTAGCCCGAAGGAGGATTACATTTTCAAGTGCTAATTTACAAGCAGGTTCCTCATCTTCACATTCTAGACAAGTTATGATAGATGCCAAGTAATGTTATAAATTATATTTAATTGATTTGTTTATTTATAATTATTTTTTTATGTTTCAGACGATTTGAATTACTTTCAAGACCAAAATCGAGTCCGAAAAAGTTGATGAAAAGTCCTAAGAAATCTATTAAAACTCCAAGCAGCTCTGTTAAAAAGAAAATGTCTTTGAGATTTACAGTCCTACCACATGATGACAACGTAGCGGGACCATCCTCTTCTTCCTTGAGAGCAAGCGCTACGAAAAGAGCTTTATTTCAGAGTCCAGAAAAACCCGCCAAGCTGACTAAAATTGTAATACCCAGTACTTCAAATTCGGCTCTAAGTCCATGGAAGAAGCGCAATACACCAAAAAGGGCATTATTTAACTCACCTAAAAATTCTCCTTCAAAAATTGGTACATCAATTGAAGGTACCAAAAGAAAACGTATGGATAATGATGAACCACCCTGTAAATTTCCAAGGAGTCAACCTATGATGGACAGCACTGATGTGAAACCTAAAAAAAATGAACGTACAAAGGGCGATAGTCGTCTTTCGCTGCCGCCTGTCGAGTTGAGCGCTCACCATAAGAAGAAATTGCAGTGGGCAGTTTACGAGGCCCTTCGTGGACAAAATATTACTGTCACGCATCCTCAGTTCAAACAGTTTGCTTCTGTTTTGGCAAGGGTTACAAGAAGATTACTGCCGAATTTGACCACCGGCCAAAAAACAGAAATTGGCACAAGTGAACGAATGCTGCGAATTGCTAAACAACACGTGTTCTCAGTGACTAAATGTAAAACGGTCGAAGATATAATATTGACTTATGAGGCTAACCGACTGAAAACTATAAAACCTAGTGGTTATGTAGCCAAGGAAGAGCCCGAAAAGAAAATTGATGTGTCCGTTGCTCGAGGCAGTAGGGATGTTTTCCAAGACAAGGCAAACATTATAAATAGCTACGAAAAAGTGGCTCCACCCCAACCACCCGCAAGACCCATGAGCACAATTGAAAATCGCGTCGAAAGGGTTAGAAAAATTATAAATTTTGACGATGATTCAGCGATGAGCTTTAGGTAACATCAAAGGAAGCATTATTAATTAGTTTTAATATATATATTTAGTGCCTTTATTTAACGTTTATAACTGATGTCGCTTTGGGGCGAGTATCGTCCTGTGAGGGCTCTGTTGGGAAGCATCGGACTTCGGTAGGATCTGTCCAAAGTGATTGGCAGCACAATCGGGTCTTTGTATTTGACGTAGTATTGGGGACTCTTCAAATAAGTGCTATAAGTTAAAATTTAATGAGTTTCATGTAGATTCGGTTTTCTTCTTTATATTTGATTTTACCTCGTTGGATCCGTTGGACATTGGAATCTGTAATCGTTTAGTTTAAAGTAATCCAACCGGTGCAAACGCCCTGAGTGATCCTTATATTGATCTCTGTGCAACTGGCTTACCTGTGTTTATGTTTATTTCTTGTTAAAAATGTACTTTTAGTTTAGTATACTTATGTTTCAATTAAAATGGGACTTATTGTTTTCGTGTTACCGATATAAACTACCTTATAGAAATCGTCAATCTCCTGCTGCCTTCCGGGATCCAACATCGTAAATTGAGGCTGCGGGAGCTTTAGATATTTTCCATTGTTCTTTCCGCTACTTACAGCGATATCTGGTCGTGGGGTGTATGGTGTGTTCATAAAACCCCATTCGTACGGGGGCATCTGAAGCGAAATTGAGGTTTTCAGGCCAACGATATTTGTTTTAAGAAACAAACCTGGAACTTGGAGAGATTCTCATTTCGGTAATTCTGGAAATAAGTTATATGTGAAGAGTCCACCAGTGACCCGTATCCAGTTTTCACTGGAGGATGAGCCCCCATGAACACAGGTTTTATGGACGGTGGAAAATATGTAGCTTTCATATCAGATAAATTGATATCACCCATTTTGAATAATACTTGTAAATTTAGAGGGATCGAAAAAAAATATTGTCAAAAAATAATTTGTCACTTTAATTGTATCACATATAACAAACAATGCATATAACATTGTTTTAGAAATTAAAATACACTCATCAATTAGTTTATGTATCAACAAATTAAGTTTGTTTAAATATCAATAGTAAATCTGTTGTCCCTTGCTTTTGTATATCATATATTTGTTTTTATTTATGTACATTTTTTTGGGATATAATAAATATTGTTATTGATTAACTCTTTCCTCTGTAACATACATACATATATAATTAATATTAGTAAAGACATACTTCAGGATATATATTAAAAACCTTTTAAAAAAAAAGTTTTAGATGTATTCGAGTTCCAAGTAATTGGATTTACAAAGGTGAAAATATGTATATTCGTGTTAGGAATATATGTCAATTTGATATATAATTGGTTGCATAAGATTGGTTGTCCATGGCAACTATAAAATACAAATATATGGCTACATATTTACACAAAGGTTTCAAAATCATAAATAAGATTATTCAAGTAAATACTTATGGATCAATTTAAAATTACCGGTAAAGTAGGACAAGGTGCTCATGGCTATGTCATGAAGGGTTTCAACAAGTTCACCGGTGAACAAATAGCGATGAAAAAGTTGATAGTGAAGAACTTGGACGAGGGCATTCCAAAGAATATAATGAGAGAGATCACGGCTCTCAAAGTATTAAATCACGAGAACGTAAGTGTTATTTATAACTGTTTCTTATAATGTGTGAGATGAATCTATAATTTTTAGATAGTTGAAATAATAGAAGTTATTCCATATGGAATGGGTCTTTTGTTGGTGATGGAATACCTTCCTAGCAATTTACAGGAAGTGTCCAAGAACATCAGTTTGGAACCGTCGAAAATAAAACGCTATTTGAAAATGTTATTGGATGGCGTAAAGTTTATGCACGAGAATCATATAATGCATCGCGTAAAAAAATAATGAATATAATCAAAATTGATATTTCATATCTGTTTTATTAAAGGATTTGAAACCTGCAAATCTACTGATCTCGTCAGAAGGGCTGCTGAAAATCGGAGATTTCGGTTTGGCTAGAATCTACGCAGAAAACGAACCGGAAAGGGAATACTCTCATCAAGTTGCTACCAGATGGTACAGGGCTCCAGAACTATTGTATGGAAGCAGAAACTACACAAATTCTGTGGATATGTGGGCTGTCGGATGTATAGCAGGAGAATTGTTTAATAGATCGCCGCTTTTTCCAGTATTTAAAACATACTCATTAAATTCGCATTAATCTATCTATTGTGTCTAAATAGGGCGAAACGGATATAGAACAATTAGCTATAGTTCTGCATACTCTTGGTACGCCAACTGAGGAATCTTGGCCAGGACTTGCGCAACTACCGGATTACAATAAAATCACATTTGCAAGAAGTGCCGGTCAGAATTGGTTAACAGTTTTACCTGATTGTAGCCACGAAACGTTAAACTTTGTCAAATCTCTTGTGGTTTATGACCATAGAAGAAGGCTGACTGCAAAACAAGTAACCTGATACACGTTATTAATTAATATTTTTGAATTATTTCTTTTTCAGGCTATTAATCATCTTTACTTCTCAGAGAAGCCTGCACCTTGTCCCCTTGTAGATATGCCCAAAGAGGATCAGTTAAAATTTGCATCGCCGCGCAAAGATTTGGACGTCATTTGCGATGAGTTTGATCAAATTTTTAAGGACTTTTAAATGAATCACAGTATTTGCAAATTTTAGCCAGATTGCGTTGGCCGTGTATTTAGTACCTTAACATATGAATTCGCATATCCGAAGCTGTAGAAAGCCAAAAATGGAAAATTTTTCATGAGCCAGAACGATGCATTCATGACAACATTATGATAGAATTTAAGAGCGGTGTACTTGTAGGTGGAAATTGTATATTCCATGAGATCCAAAAGGAATTTCTGTTTTTTGTTTAGTTTCTCGCTGAGCCGGGAAATCAATGTATGCTTCGCAAAATCTTCAGGTGCATTGAGTAATCTTATTAAACGGATCATTATCACTTCTGGAATCAACATAGGATTCATAGCCCACATTCCGTTTACCAGAGCTGTGGACATTTGAAGAAAATCTGACTGTTGCTCTTCAACTTTCAGCTTGAAGACTTTGTCTATTAGTAAACAACAAATTCTTTTTGTATCTTCCGGGTCATCTCGGCAAATATTGAAACTTTAAAGCAATATAATTAAATTGACATATATATCACTGTTTCAAATATCAACTTACCGGTCTTCTATACCCATCATATAACCAATTACTTTCCATAAATGGATAAAAGACTCTAACTCCTCCTTCGTCGCATCGAAAATACCAATTTCCCTTGATCGTGCAATCACAAAACCCATGAAACCAAATTGTGTCAAAGCCATGTCTTTTTGAGATATATAGTTTAAACCGGCTTTGCAACTTTTTTTACTGTTCATGTTATGTTTTCCCCGAACTTCGACCAACGATTTCCAAAGGCTAAAATATAATTGAAACTTAGAAAGTAGCAATTAAGAAAAATTTAAAGAAACTTACTCTGATGCTGGATTGAAATCTTCGTTATACCAAATTATCATATGGAACAGAGTTGCTAAATATCTTCGATACGCGGTTTTCGGCTCATTCGACATCTTCGTGTATTTTAGAACGTGTAGAATACTGGGCACAGCCAATATTGCAATTAGTCCCATTAACTTCCCATAGAACATAACAAAAACATTGCGTCTGTAGAATTGTTGTCCCCTTAAAAAAATGATTTCGCGTTATTTCCATCGCACTTTTCAAAAACCGCCCACCTTTTAAATTTTGCCTCATCGTAGAAATATGGAACACGAAGATTTTCGTGAAAATTTTGATTGGAATCGTCGCACCTGACTTCCTGACCCTCCTTGAGTAAACGATTTACAAAAGTTTCCGCGGAGAAACCGATTTGCTCATCTAAAATAAAAATAGTTTCTTCTAATTCAAGGTAATATTTTTATGTTTTCGTACCCAAGTTCATCATCATGCTACGGTGTTCGCGACACGAATTTCACGCGCACAATGAGGACGTTGCGGTTGGTGAAAGTTTAGAAAATTGAGTTTCTTCCACTTCATATGGAAGGCTACGTCCAAATAGCTGTTAGGAGGGATCGAATCAATGTAAACTGCATATATGTTAATTAAATTAAAGCATCGTTTTCAATCAACCAGATCAATAAATAAATGCAGAAGCGCGCCTTATGCATCAATATTGTTATGTTTCTATTAGTTTAATCATGCAGAAGCTTTAATTTGATATGAAACTGGACTTAAATAGACGGTGAAGGTGAATGTACTCGCTTATATGCATATAAGAAGAGTCATTTGATTAATGATCTCCACTTTGTCAGAACATCGTTGCTGACATTGAAATACTTTTACAATTGTATAATATTATACGGTAAACATTCCTGCCGCTTGCTTTGCGTAACTTTATTTTAAGTGGTTTTCATGTTGTATTAGTCGATGAGATATTTGGTTTACTGTAGAACATAAACTCGGTGAGTAATATATTTTCTTTATTTAAAAAAATATTTTATATAAACAACCTATATATACGCTATCATGCAAAGAAGGAATCGCAGTTTCAGATAACAAGGTTATTCTTTGTTTGCAATAGTCCAAAGTCACTTTTACATAAAGTTCATAAATACTTACTTAATCTATACACCTTCATTTGAATTGCATCTATTTAATGTCATTAGAAGAATAAATAGCTTAGAGCGTTAAAGAATTATCGTTGATTTACTCATTTGCAGTGTTATATAAAAATATACAATTATGGGTTATATACAGTAGATAATTATTTTTCTTATTATTTAGAAATATTCAACTCCTGATTAATACAATATTTTTCAAGATATGACAATAATAATAATAGTACTGATATCTTCTAATTAATGAATCGACAATCTAAAATGTGTTTATTTATAATGCAAACATTTATTGGAAATGCTTGAAAATTCCATCTAGACAAAATGTTATTTGCTCCTTGTACATTATAAACTACAACTACAGGAGCAGATAATATAATAATCTTGAATACCACATACATATTATAAACAATAACTTGGCTGCACAATAATTGAATCATATGTTTGCAATAAATTTATACGAGCGGACTAACATTAATATACGATAAACATGTTCAATTTTGTAAACACTAATTATTAATAAATAATATTTATTTGTAGTTGGTTAATTTACATAATTGTATCATATAATATTCGAGCATTCTGTTAATGTTACATTATAATGTATCTACTTACGCAGATTATAAGAAAATATCATTTATTATCCACAAATTTGGCAATGTATATTAGTCTTACTTAATTATATGCAACATATTTTTTTATTAAATACTAATTAAATTAAAATATCTTTACACAAAATATCCTATACATATTATGAAATACATGCAAAATAAGCTGTTCAAATTTCATTATAAAATGTAATTAAAACATAGAATTATTCATTCAATCTATAGATGGAGTAAGTTTCAAATTATTGAAACATCCTATTGATCATTTAATTGTATCTAAATATACATAAAAAATAGAAGGTTTGTGTATTTATACGATATACGTTTGCAGCCTGTTTGGTTCAAAGAATGTGCGTTGATATGTAAATTGAATAAATATTGATCAACGTGTTATACGCATTTCAATATAGATGTCTCATAAATTCAAGTGTTTTACTATCCGTGTTACCTAACAATAAGGTATTAATAAGCAATAATAATAAAAATTGCGTAATGTGCAAATGAATGACGGAACTTATTTTCGGACGTGCTTGAATATTTGCTTGAGTAGATGGCGACTTCGTGCATCCCTTTGGGACTTCGAGTGACTTCGTGAATATACGAAACGAACGATGCAGAGGATGGGAATGGGAGAGAGGTGTTGTTGTTGGTATGCAGGAGCGCATTAAGAATTTGACAATTTATATGTGAAAATGACGGCACCCTGGAAGGCTGTCGTCGCGCTGCTCTTGCAGTTTGTGACTATTTCGACTTGTATACCATCACCTGTGGTTACCCCCGAACAGAAGCAGTTGCAGCCTCAAATCTGGACGGTGCTGGACTTCCTGAACGCCCAGGATGATCGCGCCTACAACTACAACTTCGCTCATCTAATAAATGCGCAGAAAAAGGTAGAAATTATTAAGAAACCCGGACCTAACAATCCAGCAATTGGATAATTCAGTAATCCAATTGCTATGGAATCATTTAGTCTACTTGGCTGTGGGGGAGTTCTAAATTTAAATTGTGATCACGACTGTCGCCAAATCTGGCCCGGAAAACAAAAGTTTTGATATTTTATTTATAAAACATTTTTGATCCCGGATTTTTTCCCTTTCTACTATTTCTCATCCAACTCGAATTAATTGTGCAATATTTATTTACATCGTTTAAATAAATATGTATACGGTATTAATGGCCAAGACAAACTATTTGAATGCTAACGAGCTGCTAGCGGAAAAATCCTTGGTGGCTGCAAATTTATTAGACTGGCCTTTCCACCATTCCGGTATAATTATATTTCATCATCATCATCACATCTACGATTTCAAAAATTGCGCATCAATATTTCAGTTGAATATACAATAATTGAATGTCAATATTTTGCAACATTTGACCCATATAGGTGACCTGAAATGTTATCCATTCGTTTTGTTTTTTTAAATTTTATTTCGCAGACACAAGAAATCTCAGCTTTGGAGCTCGAGGTTGAAGTCGAGTGCATTGATAAGGATCGATGCAACGAAAATACTCTGATATGCAAAGCCTACGTCGAATATTTCCCAGAAACCGACACTTTCCAAACACTCCCTGACGTAGAATGCAACCCAAATGCTGAAAGTTCCATCAAAGAAGTGCAACATGCGGTCACAGAAGAAATTACGAGGCCGATAAAGTCGCAGCAGCATTGCACCGGTTGCTTATTCGAGCTGAACAAGGATGCCGAAGGAAGCCAAGATTTGATTGACGCCGCTTTGGATCACATCAACTTTGATAGGCAGAGAAGGCATTCTTTGATTAACGTGTTAAAATTGGAGAGACAAATTGTCGGTGGGGTCAAGTACTACTTACTCTTAGAAGTTGCCCCAACAGTTTGCTCCATGAACATCAATAAATTAGAGCTTTGTCCCATTGACGAAGGAGCTAAAAATGAAATCTGCCAAATACAATACTATCAGAGACCATGGATTAGCAAGGATAAACATATTGTGTCTAACAATTGCACGGTATCCCAAGAGTATATTAGGTCTCCAAAATCCAATGATATAGATAATGAGATTGAGACCAACAATGATTTCAAAAAAGTCGAAGTTGAAGAAATCACCGATAAAGGTCCTAATTTCGAAAAGATGGCTGAAAGTGGAAAATTATACGATGACTTGCTTTCGCAGATCATTCCAACCGAACCAGACGTACAGAAAACAACAAATGTTGCACACGTCGAAGCCACGAAATCTGCTATAGACAGTTCGCAAATGGGAATCGAAGACCGACCGGTAACACCCACTCATGTTACGTACAATCGGTTGGTTGATTTTTTAACACAATTTTTCTATAATTTAAATTTATATGAGAACAGGGCGCCCATCGATGCAATCAATACTGAAGATGGCAGTTTTAGAATGAAACGCGAATTGAATACTGCTGATCCATTAAAAAAAGCAAAACATGACATCAGTTCAGAAGAATCCTCAGAAGAAAAACAGAAAACGCTTAAAAATAAGGCAAGCTCTGAGGAATCTTCGGAAGAGAAACACACGAAACGGGAAAAACGAGAATTGAGTAGTGAGCACTCGTCTGAGTCATCAGAAGAAACACAAAAACCAAAAGTCAAAAGAGAGATTTTTGACTCTAGTTCAGAAGAGAGTGATGAAACGAACGATCCACTTCATGTAATCGAGAATGAAGAGTCTTTAGTACGAGATAAACGTGAAACAGACGATAAAAAAGAATACAAGAAAGAAAGTAAAAAGGCTTCAGAAAAGGATAAGAAAAAAGGTGACGAGAAGAAAAAGATAGAAAATGCTAAGGAGGACTCTTCGTCATCATCATCATCTTCAAGCAATGACGATGGAAAAAACAAGAAGGATGATGATTCTTCATCTTCTTCTTCCTCTAGTGAGGATAACGATAAAAAGCATACTGCAAAGAAAGGAAAGAAGGAAGTTGAAGATTCTTCGTCATCTTCTTCCAGTTCAGAAGAAGAAAATAAGAAAGCTATTAAAAAGAAATCTAAAAATGACGAGGATTCTTCTTCATCCAGTTCGTCATCTGATGATAACGATAAAAAAGCAAAAAGACTAGATGACAGTTCGTCGTCCTCTTCATCGTCTGATGACGATGATGATAAGAATATTAAGAAAAAGTCGAAGACAGTTGTTGACTCTTCCTCATCTTCTTCATCTTCCAGTTCCGATGATTCTGATAAGAAATCAAAGAAAAAGTCAAATAAGGTAGATGACGATTCTTCCTCATCTTCTTCCTCAAGTTCTGACGATGATGATAATAAAAAGAATAAGAAAAAGTCAAATAAAGTAGATGATGATTCTTCTTCATCATCTTCTTCTTCAAGTTCCGAGGATGACGATGCGAAGAAAAATAAAAATGACGATTCCTCATCATCATCCTCGTCATCTTCAAGCTCTGATGATAGTAATGATCACAAAGTTAGTAAAAAGAATAATAAAGATGATGATTCTTCGTCATCATCTTCCAGTTCCGATGATAAAGAATATAAAAATAATATTAAGATTAAAATTAATATCAATAAAGATGATTCATCTTCATCGAGTTCAAGTTCTGATGATGATGAAGATAAGAAAAAATGCAATTGCGATAAAGATAAACACAAAGGAAAGAATGATGATTCTTCGTCATCCTCATCATCTTCATCTGATAGCAGCAACGATGATAAACATAAGAAAAACAAAAACGTGGATTCTAGTTCTAGCTCTTCTAGTTCTAGTTCCAGTTCCAGTGATGATAGCAATAATAAGGTCACTAAAAGGTCTAATACTAAGAAGCATAATGCCGATGATAGTTCTTCTTCATCGTCATCTTCTGATGATGAACCTAAGAAAAGAAAGAAACGCGACCTACACGATTTCTATAAGCCAGATTCTGATGAAAAGCATTTGGTGAAAAAAATCTCCAACTTTGCTGCAGCTAGTTTAAATAACGAAGGTCATAAGAATGAAGTTTTAGAAATTCTTAAAGTAAAAAAAATAGAGCTGGAGGGTGCCGTTTATCACATTTCTTTAAGAATTGGAGAATCCCACTGTTCAGGATTCGAGTCTTGTTTAATTGACGAAGAAAAGCTTTGCAAATTTCAAATTCATATTACCAAAGATGAAAAAGTTATTAAGGTGTTGAAGTCCCATTGTCATAAAATAGAACGATTTTCTGATAAGAACCGAACAGTGAATCGCTCAAAACGACAAATACCAGGTGCACCATTTGATGCATCAGATGATGACAAAATAAAGACTTTAACAAAGGAAACACTTCTGAAATTGGATTCAGAGTCAAGTCATGTGAAAAAATTCAAAGTGAGAAAAATTATTGAAGCTACGAAGCAAATTGTTTCCGGCGTCAGATATAAAATCACATTGGAATTAGTATACAGTGATTGTGATAAAAACGATTCTAAAGATTCTGATAAATGTAATGAACATGAGAAACCTGAGCCAAAAATATGCAAAATTGATATTTGGGATCAGCCATGGTTGCCACAAGGTCGCAAGACCTCCGTCTCCTGCGGCACAGAAAAGTACAGTTTTCGTTCCAGGCGAAGCATCGTTTCCGACAAAGAGGAAGAGATTTTTAAAAAATTCAATGGATTTATTAAAAGCCACAAAAAATATTATGGAAGCGATTATATGAAGAGATACTGGATTTTCAAAGAAAACATGCAGAAGATTGAGATGTTGAACAGAGAAGAACAGGGCACTGCGAAATATGGTATAACGAAGTATGCCGATCTAGATGAAAAAGAATTTGAGAAGCACTACTTGGGCTTGAGACCAGAACTGAGGAATGAAAATGAAATCGCCTACAAACAGGCCAAGATTCCTGATATCGATTTGCCGGATTCATTTGATTGGAGAGAAAAAGGCGCCGTTGCTGAGGTGAAGGACCAAGGACAATGCGGAAGTTGCTGGGCATTCAGTGTAACCGGAAATGTCGAGGGACAGTATTTCTTGAAGCACGGTAAACTGTTAGAATTTTCCGAACAAGAACTGGTTGACTGCGATAATTCCGATGAAGGATGTAACGGTGGATTTATGGATAATGCTTACAGGTATATTATTATTTTTTTGATGTTATAATGTTATTAATGTTTTCATTATGCAGGGCTATTGAGAAATTGGGAGGTTTGGAGTTAGAAAATGATTATCCTTATGATGCAAAAGATGAAAAATGTCACTTTAACAAGTCCTTGGCTATTGCAAAATTATCAGGTGCGGTGAATATTAGTCACGACGAAAGTGATATGGCCAAGTGGCTGATTACCAATGGTCCAATGTCCATCGGTATAAATGCGAATGCTATGCAATTTTATATGGGTGGCGTTTCACATCCAATGAAATTCTTGTGCAGTCCCTCCAGCTTGAACCACGGTGTATTGATTGTTGGATATGGTGTACACAGTAAGTCCAGTGTGTATTCATTAATAATACAGGATAGAAAAATATTGTATTAACTTAATTAAATTTCAGATTATCCAATGTTCAACAAATCACTACCTTACTGGATTGTAAAGAATTCTTGGGGCCCCAAATGGGGCGAACAAGGTTATTACCGAGTGTTCAGAGGGGATGGTTCTTGCGGTGTCAATCAAATGGTATCCAGTGCAGTTGTGGAGTAACCTTCGATCAATTATTTACCTTCAGTGATATAAGAAATGCCTATAATTCTAAACATGTAGATTTTATTCAATTTTAGGAATGTTAATTAAATTAATTTCTTTTATAATAAGGGATATATAACGTACTAATAAATTACGATTAATTAAATGTTAAAAGTTTTGTAGTTTCAACAGAATGACCTTCAAAGCACGAGCTTCGTACGTTACGGTCTGTTGTCCACTGGGTTGATCCTCTTCTTCATTGAAAGGCGACAATGCAACGGTCTTTACGCCTTTTCCGTATACTAAAAGTCAAATAGTTCAATAATATTCAATTAGATTAGAAGAAAAGCACTCTACTATTACATTCACAACTCTCCAAAAATTGTATACACTCTTGGATAACATTATCTTTGAGAACAATCATGTGTTTTGCAAGGTTTTCAATCAAACTTAAAAAACATCGTTTTGTGTAGAACCATGTGTCAATACCTAGTTTCTTATTGTATGGTTCCAATGATTTCATTATGCGTGAAATACCGAATTCGTAATTTCCCTTTGAACAATACAGTGTACTATGGTAGGAGAAAGAGATTATTAGCAATAATTAATTTTCATTTCTTACATACCCAATAACTAAATTTACGATGCATAGGTGAAAATACTTCTTGTCTGGCTCTTCGTATGCAATCTGATCTTCTTCCTTTTCAATTTTCCTCATTAACTCTTCGGCTTCTTCATTTTGCGAAGTCATTATATAAGATACACACAAATTTGCCAAAACTATTGCACTAACATTTAATATCTGAAAAAAATCAATTTGAAAACAAGTTTGAACATATTTTACATTAATTGCTAACATCATTTAAATTCTTCTTAACAATAGGTTCGTAAAATCCAGTTGCCTCCTTGAACTTATTCTCTTGCATGAATAATACGTGTGCTACATTCAATCTCCATGTATCGTTATCATTGCAAAACTCGACGCTTTTCCTGAAGAATACATAAATCAATGTTTGTTTGAACATGTAGTCGTTTTTTACCTGAATATTTTTTCAACTTGCGGATAGTTTTCAATTTCCCAATATATTTTGGCTTGGGCCATCAGGACAGGAATGTAGCGATCCAAGCATTCCTCGTAATCCATTACCGTTTTCTTGACCAATTCTGTATCGCTGTTGTTGCGGTGTTCCTGTACTTGCTTTGTTAGTTTACGCAAAATTTCTGTATGACGATTGGCCAGGTCGTCCAGCTTTTGATAGGCTTCAGATGGTGAAGTCTGCTGGGTTATTATAGCATCCAGGAAATCGTACAGGTACTGTATTAAGAAAATTATTATTTTAATTATATACTGTAAATAATATTGTATCATTTTACTGGAGTTAGATATTTGTACGTCAAATGAGCATTTTCTGCTAGAATATCGGCGGCCAAGTCAAAGCATTCGTGTTGGCAATAAAGCAACAGGAGATTTGAAAATGTTTCCGGAGGAAACGGATTCTGCTGTAAAAGAAATTGTAACTTCTCGAAACCCTCAGCAGGATTTTGATCTATATTCATTAGCGCTTGATTGTGCAGCGTGACTGCATCCAACTCGTACTCAGCTCTTGGGGGCATATCTGTTAAAGCCTCCCTCGCAGCATCCACTAAAATGATAAAACATCAGTAAAATTTAATTGATTTTCATAAATAAATTACAATTCTTCAATTGATATTCGATCGCAGCTTTCAGATTGAAAGCTTCTGTTAAAGCTGTTTCGTGCAAAGTTAAAGTATTTCCGACCGATCTAACTTCAATGCCTTCAGTTTGCATACCTACACTCAATTCTGGATGATCTCTGATGCCCTTTTCAATTATATCAGCTGAAATCAAACGGTACCAATATGTATCAAAAATAGAATTTTAAAATTTACCACAATATTTTAGGGCAGCACCGTATTCCTTTAGGCGGTAGTAACACAATGCAACATTATAACTCAAGTATGGTTTAAACCCAGAGCTTTGTAAAGAAGCTAGGAATTTGTTCAAAGATTCTTCATAATTTCCATCCTAATAAAACATAAATATTCGAATTATACTATCTACTTAATATGTATACTTACTTTGTACAAAAGGCATCCCAAATTAACTTCCGTATCTAAATCGTCGATGCTGCATTCATCCACTAGATTTTTGGCTGCGCTCAAATCCTCCTGCCCGTACTTTATAGCTGCCTGTAATTTGGTCACCTAAAGAGATAACAATACGTTACAAGTATATATGATTTTTAATTTTAATTACTTTGGCATCGAAATCTACGCCGGATATGTTCTCAGTCACTTTGAATGCTTCATCGTAAAGGCATGCCTGATAGAGGGACTGCGCGTAATAAAGTTTATAGTCCATGGAATCTGGGAACATTTGAGTCAATTGCTCGTAATATCCTGAAGCGTTGCTGAAATCCTGTGTGTAGAAATAGCAGTATGCTAATAACGATAGTCCAGCCCTGCATGTATTTGACTCTGGAATTCCGTGCAAAACTTTGATGGCTTCTGAATATTGGCCTTCTTTAATCTGAAACATTTTGTATTAAAATGCAGCAACTCTAAATTGAAGCAATGCAGACCAATGTATAAATAGTTTTTGTAAAATCTCCATCGTTTATTGAGATATTTGCAGAAAACATTTTCACTTTGTAATGCTTGTAATGTTATATGTACGTTTCCTATGGCAACGACAATTACAACATTGACATAAGTCGATATATTATATATATATATGTCATTGGTATTTACATATTCCTTTAGTTTTATAGTTTATTAATTTATATATGAGTATATATTAAACATTTCCAGTTAAATAAGCTTAATAAGCTGCATTTGCGTAGATGATTTGTGTGATTTTAAAGTACGTATGACTATTTATAAAAGTCTCTATTTCTGAATAGGTCAAGATTACTAATAGTATCTAGGCCGAGCCTCATAAATATTAAGTTTCATATCAATAATATTTTGAAAAACATTTACTTTTAAGTTTAAATTTATTATTATTTATTCAGTAAGTTAAATACAGTGGAACCTCGCTTAACGAGCAAAATTAATTGTAAGAAAAATGACTCACTTAGAGAGCGACGTTTCGCATTACGAGTGACGATGAGAAGAGAAGTCTCGGATTGCGCGCTTTCTTCATCATTTTTTGAATTAACCATCTTCGATTTTCTTTGTCATCTTTGTTTAAAGCGGACTATAATTTACAAATATAATTTGTTTTTGCTGTAAATGCAAAACACAAATGTAGACTCTCCAACCATTATTATAATATATAAACACACTATGTACACTTTTTTATATAAACAAATATTAAAAGTATAGAGACGTCCACCAAGTCGCCTAATTGATACAAGTAATATAAACAAATATAAACTCACTTCACCGTGTGTGAATTGGAAAACAGTTGCTAGTGTTAGTGGTCATTCTAGTTGCATCTTAGTGTTGTTTGTGATCACAAAATTTCCAATCTTGTATTTAAATTTGTTATTTGTGTGCAGAATTTAATAACACTTGCAAGTCTCCGAATAAAAAGTCAAAGAATATAAAGAACCATAGATATGAAAAGCAAAATCATTAAAAATCGAGACCAAGTTATACTTTTTTTTCCGGCAAGGAACGGATTATCGTAATTTATATTAGTTTATATGGGAAAACGTGTTTCACTATAAATGAAAATCCGGAAATTTTGGAACGAATTAAACTCGTTAAGCGAAGTTCCACAGTATTTCTTTTATATAGTAAATGTAATCATTCAGTTTCCAGTAATCATTGCGCACGAATAAAATATATATTGCGGTATTTTGCAACACTATTAAATGCTTTATTTGTTTGCAAACAGCAATTACAAAATTATTTAACAAAAACATGTAAAGCTTCAAAAATATATAAAAGGTGTCATTGAGAAGGTATCAATTGCAATGTGAGTATATTCGATAGGAGAAACGTGCAGTTAGTAAGTTCCAAAAGTTAGTTACTTAGATGTAACCTGAAATGGATTGATTAAGAATCACAAGGACGAGTTTATTGTAATGGAAACTACCTAGAAAGATCTTGAAGATTAATAGTTTCTTCTGATGGAGAGTCCTTGAAAAGGGTCGTTGATAAATCCATCGCCACATACAAGCCGCACAGAATCAATGGACCAATGATGGCTCCTTCCAGACCCAAGCAAAAAATTCCACCTGCTATTGCGAGACCCGTCAGATAAGGATGTCCTCTAAAACGTAAAACAACTATGCTATTGTAATTTATCGCTAAAAACAAACCAACCCTTTCATCTCCGCGTAGATAGTAGCATCTACAATGGACATTGGGACAAATTGGACGGCAGCAAATAGAATCGCTTGTAAACCTTTCTCTTGTGCTAACCACAAATCAAATACGGCTGGAATGCAAGCCCAGTAAGTTCCTAGAAACGGGGCAGCTCCTAATATGGCGGCAACAGCTGCAAAGCCAACGTACAAGAATTATTATAAAAAAATTAATAAATGAATTGCATCTATTACCGGAAGGCAAGTAGACAATTTTGACATTGAACAGGTTGTGAATAAACCATGTCCATAAACCATAGAAGGTAGCCATCTTAAATGAAGCTGTAAATACGCCATTAATGGCATCGCCCAATGCTAATCCTAAACGATTTCCATTAGAAGAAAATTGTGTCATTAACTCCACTGGCTTGTATAACTCTCCACTCGAGCTCAACAAATAGAAAAGCGTAGTTAAAAATATAATCTGCAATAAATAAATTTTAAATGTTTGTATGTTACTTTTTTTCCTCTTTCTACTTACCACATTTAATATAAAGTTTAGTACCGCTGTACCGCCGCCCAATAGAACCGAAACTATAGCACTGAATGATCCCAGGACAAGGCTTATATTCCCTTTGACAATGGACCAAATAGAATCTAATAGGGATATAAGCGTCCCCACATTTTGATTCACAAACGACATTAGGCCACTTATATTGAACATCTCTGGAGACTTTTGTAGGTCGTCGATGAAATTGTTCCAAGTCTTCTGCACTGCGTCAGACGTAACTTTTGGTCCGTGACTTTGGTCACTGTCCGAATTCATCCAGGCTTGATAGATTCTATCCCACAGTTCCAACACCTGCTGTTCCAGTTTCTCTGATTTACTCGGATCCACTCCGCTCATCATGCTTTTGACACCCTTCGATATTCCTTCCCTTCCATATTGATACGCGTTATCCAACAAAGAGTCTACGGTGTTTTCAAAAGCCGGTGGTAGAAGTTGTCTTAATTCTGGATTATGTACTACCGTTTGATTAATTACATTGCTAGAGATTTGAACAACAGTTATAGCCTCTGCATAAACCTGAAACATACCATCTGTTAATTATCACAAAGCAGATAGATAAGATAATTGCAACTTACTTGAACACATATGAAAATCGAAGCGCATAAAACAAATACCAATAATCCTAATATGACAACGCAACTTGACACAGTATCTATGCTTTCTTTAACATTTTTCTTAATAAACTGATTGGCTTTATAAACAATTCTATATAGTCCACGTATCGGTACAGGTATTATAGCGTCATTCCTCTCATGACACCAATTTGTTACTTTGCAAAGAAAATTAGCTCCATGCGTATAAAGCATGCTCCAAATACCTAAATAAGCACCGCAACGCTTAATAAAGTAAATTGCTATCGGTATGCACAATATAGGCACTAACATAAGATTCTTCCAAAAGAAAACTATTGCGCATCCCCATAGAAGAGAGCAAATATAAAAATCACTTGCGTATTCTCCATTTTGTACTTTGAACGTTCTACTGGATCTCTTCCTCCATGATAAAAGACCCACTTTATTCTTCAAATTTAAACCTGGTACAGAGGGCTGAGAAAATGATCGTCGGACTTTTGCAGGAGATTCGAAAACCGCTGGTTTTTTAATCATTTGTACCCTGCCCTTATCCACTATCAATACATTTGTATTTTTCAATCTACTTTTTGAAGCCTCATCAAACAAATCCAATGACCATGGATCCTTCCTTATTTCTGGTTCATCCAAAATATTTTCTTCCTTATTTACCTCTTCTTGCATTGTTTCAGTATTTTCTTCACCATTTCCTTTATCCTGTAATTCTAGTTTGATGTCTTCTTTTTCTTTGCCATGTATGGCAAATTTAATAGCACTGAATATTGAGGAATCTGATTCAGATAAACGTAATTGTTCTTGTATGTCCATGATTTCAAAGACTAGTCCACCAAGCAAGATTCCTTGTAATAATATGAAAATTGGAATTTGAAACGCTCCAAACTGTTTGGCAATAAATAATGATAATACAAGCCACACCATCATAGATGCATAATGGAATTTCTTGTTATTCTCTGGTTTCCACATTGAAACCAAAACAGAAATATATGCAAGCAAAATTAATATCACCTAAAAACAAAAATATTATTTATTTATATTTTCATTTAAAACAGAAAAAAACTTACCAGTGTTGTTGACAAATTGGAAATGAAGAAGCTTATGATGATCTCAGTTAATATCCACCAATTGTAGAAAATGCTGACAAATACTGTTGGGGTGTAAAAATATAGTAAATGTAGAGAGACTGCAGAAATTCCTATGGCTAAAAGCAATTTCCAGTGTTTGACTAAGGTACAACCAATAAACTCGGATATATCATTGATAATATTAATAGGTATGAAGAATATTCCTATTACAATTGGAGTCCTTGATTCATCTAAAGTATCAAACCAAGATTTGAACTTTTGGGCTAAGGTGTACTTAATGGGATGCAATACAGAACCAACCAGGAGTGCCCACATCAATGGCTTAATGAAAGGCTCTAGTATCAAATACAAGAAACCCAAAGCTGCACAACATATGAATAGCAGGAATAAAGCCAATGAATTATACAAGGCATGCTTGATGGGTTTATCATGCCCTTGTGGCAATCCTCCAATTATATTAAATATGTTGTCCAGAGGTGATCGGTGGTCCATTTTATCCATGTTCTACTTTACAACCCATTAAACTAGAAGGCAATGCCCAAACTATGACATCATACTTATTTTTTGACACATTTTCTGTAAGAATGTGAAGTGATCTAAAGTAAAAGAATTTAATCAATTCATTGACATAAATATAACTGAAGTTAACAATAAATAACATTACTACATGTTACAAAAATAATTTAAAAATCTTTATATACTTTATTTAAAAATCATGAAAATAAAATATATTCAATTATTTGCTATCTAAATAACTAGTAATATTCAAAACTAATTGGAAATATATTGATTTTAAAATGAATACCAACTTTGATATCAGAATGTTTCCTTTCCAATAAGTTTATATTTGAAAACTATTCATATTAGTATTCAAATAGAATAGTAATATTGTGTAGTGCATTATAATTAAATAACATTATTTATAGTAATCGTGATTAATATTTTAATAGTTATATTGGTATGACTGAAGTTTTTTCTCAGCTGATTTTATATCATTAAATTTTGTTTATAGACAACAAACAAATGTGTAACAGATACATATAAAAATGTAACTATTTTAAGTTTTGAATACTTTAAAGAGCAATGGCATCCAAAGAAGATAAATGGGTGCGAATATTTGACATTCCAGATACCAATAAGCACAAAAAGGGATTTACCATTTATAAAATAATTTCAATGGTAGGTATAACAATATTACCTATCTATATTTGCAAATAAATACATGATGATGCATGTTTATCTATTGCGAAATTATTTCAATATTTTACTAAATTTACTACTACTTTATGTGGACAATTCGATTATTATTTGCAATCAATAATAAGGATGTTGTATAGTGTCAATGTTTAATTTTCAGTTGTATCCAGAGAGTTGCCCTGATGCAATAACAAAAATTACTGTTTGGAAAAGGTATAATGATTTCAAGAAGTTGCATGGAGCATTAAAGTTATTACACAAAACACTGAAGATAAGGGATAAAATTCCATCTATTCCAAATACTTCATTTTTTAAAAGGTAATTATATTCTAACTGTTGATAACACACCAATTTATTTTATAATTTCAGGTTTCAAGATGAAGTTTTAGAAGAGAGGAAATCTATAATACTCAACTTTTTAGAATACATCTCTAAACACTCACAGCTATTCACCAGTAATGAATTTGTAAAGTTTTTTGAAGTATTTATTGTTATATCATTGTTAAAGTATAATTTTAATAAGATGACATTTACAGACCAGTCATACTCCAAGCAACATGATATCCAGCAGTATTAACTCAATACGGGCAGAGCTGAATCTACCTTCAGAGCCTGAATATTTATCATTCCACTCCCCAGAATCAGATGAAGAATGTACAATCAGTGATACAGATTCTATATCTACCCTAAGCAGTATAAGCCCATCTATACAGGTAATGAAAGTATTTTGGATAAGCAACACACAAACTATAGTATTGTGTATAAGTATCAAATATTGAAACAACTTTGTTTTTTTTTGGTCAAGACATCTGATTTTTTGGATCCTTTTACTAAAAGTTCAGTTACTTTGAATAAACTATCTAAGAAAATGAATTCCGCGATGTCCGTGGCTATAAAAGGTGATATTTTAATAGATGGTTTTCAAGTCTTGGACTATCCAACACCACCAGAAACTCCCAACATTCTAGATCCCAATGCGTATATTGTAGAGGCTGGCAAATATATAACCCAAGCTTCTGAATATGAAGTTGAAAGCAAATTTGGAGAAGCTTTCATAGCATACAAGCAAGGAATTGATATATTATTGAGGCACGTTAAAGGTAACGTTTTTTTGTCAATTCAGTTGACAAAATTACTCACTACTACTAATTTCAAGGTGATGTGGATATCGATCGGAGGCAGATGGTAAGATTTAAAACGGAGAAATATCTGCTGAGAGCTGAAAAACTCTATAATCTATATTTGTCGCCTGATGTCCAAATTTTCCAGAAAATTGTATGTTTATTCAATCATAGTAAGATTTTGTCATACAATTATTATTTCATTTCAGGCTAAAGAAAACACTGAAGAATGCATACATAGTCCGATTTCCGAATTATATAAATATAAAGTTATAAAAGTGATTGATTCTGGAATGATGGTGCTCCATACAGAAACGCAGTTGTTCTATTTCGTAAAAGTATTAAATAGAATTTAAATTTGATTTTACAAATATTATGTACTCTTATGTTTTTAGGTAATCCACAAAACATGCATCTTCAGTAAAGATGATTTAATCTTGCCAAACAATGTGCCTTTCATGGTGAATTTACATAACACTTACAACTGCGAAAACGCCATATTCTTAATATTGGAATACCATAAGTAATGTAGAGTATCATTGGTTATGTTCTTGAATAACTTACAATTATTATCCATAGCGTTACACGGCTTTGGGAATTTGTAAAGCAGACTTCGCGGTTTTCGAGCAAAGATATTGAACAGCTTAGAGAATATGAGACTAATCAGGTGACTTCAGATAACGAATCAGAGTGTAGTTATTCGGAGTTATTTTATGAGTGTGCTGCAAGTAAGAATGCAACATCGAATAATTCGGTAAATACCGATGAAATTTTAACGAAATCACAAGAATTGATAATTTCGGTCGATGCAGCGCTTAAGAAAAATTCCGAATTAAAAAAGAATGTACAGCACTTCGAAGGCAGTTTCGAATTCATTAATGTTTCTAGTCAAAGGAGGTCGAGCAACGCGTCGACTGTTCCCGAGGTATATGATGATTTTGGGGAATTCACACAAATTCCAATAGATAATATTATTAAATGGTCAGCGCAATTATTAATATGCTTAGAACGTTTGCATAGAATTGGTATTGTTTGTTGGTAAGTAAGTCAATAAGCATTACAGAAATAATCAATAATATTCGCACATTCTTTTAGCGATTTACAAAGCAAAAACTTGCTGATAGATGACAAAGGAAATCTTCTTTTGAGTTATATGTATCAAGTGAATGGCAAAAGAATTTTTAACTACAAAGGCAATTTGCATTTGGCTCCAGAATTATATAAATTTGATGGAGTTTCAACTGCTGCAGATTGGTGGTCTTTCGGCACAATTCTTTACGAATTGCTCGTGGGAATTGTAAGTTATTAAAACTATTGATTGATTTGACTACCAATTCTGTAACGTTTTAGCCAATTGCGAAAATGCACCCAGAGGGAATTTTAATTTATACTTTGCTCAGAATACCGAAATACGTTTCGCCGGAAGGGAAATCATTAATCAAGCAGGTACTAGATTCTGCATAAGGAACTTTCTTAATTCTATATTTCATATATTTATTTTCAGTTGCTAAATTGCGATCCAAAATATAGGCTCGGAAGTGGACTTAGCAGCACTGAAGAAATTAAGTCACATCCATTCTTTAATTCTATTAAATGGGATGATATATAAAGTCAATAATAATATAATATTACTACAAATGGTTGCACAATAGAATAAAGCTAATGCATATTAAATAAATTGCAAACATAATGAAATAAAATGATTTATTTATTATTCATATAAACATATATGAATTAAACTTAAGTGTAATAATATATATATTTTATTTAAATGATTTTCATTGAGCATTTTGATCATGTATTATTAAAATAAACAATTACTATACTAAAATTAGGGTAAAAATCTATCACATTTCACCATAGTTCTGATGCAGAAGTTTTGTTGATAAAACAGTCTTTGTAACCTTTTAGTGATATGTTTGCCTGATACCAATTAAATACTTCATCATCAACACTTTCATGTTTTTCAATTTTAAAACTTTCAGACATTTCAGAGTTCTCTGTATAAATTTTAAGATTGTTGCAGCATTCATCATTAAGATTGCTATAAGATAAGTCAATTATTGTGTTTTTGATATTGGAAGGAACTTCATAATCTTTGTTAATGTCAAACAAATCACTGCAGCTTTCATTCTTCTTCAGAAATAAGTATGTGTTTGTCAGTGGAAGTGGATTCTCAACTGCAGTCAACCAGTCTTCCTTTAAGAAGATGTGCCTACAAGTAAATATTAATTAATTGTAATATTTGTTTAATTAAGTTATACCTAATATTTACCTTAGAATTTTATTTTGATGTTTTTTAATGAGTGCTTGATGATTGGCTTCATTGTGGCCTTTAGCCAGTTTTGGAATTTTTATGGTATAGATTTCCTTTGGTGTAAACGGCAGTGCACCAAATACAATTAAAATTTCTAGGACTAAATTTGTCTCAAGTTCCTTCAATATATTCACCATCATCTTTTGCAATGTATTAAAGACATCAGAAGCCACTTGGTGGTGTTTCTGTACAGTGAAACTGGCACTATTCCTCTTTTTGTTTATTGCACTTTGCAACCAACTGTATGGGTAAGGGATTTGAGCTTTTTGATACAAAAGGCATTTTAAGATTTCATTTATCAAACATCCACAAGTTAATGGTGTTAATATCACATCTTCTACACAAACTGGAATTGTTGTCTGCAATTGTTTCTTGCACTTATAACTCGTATCGTTGTTAAATAAAATTTCCATCGCGTTGTTTCTATAATTATTTAGAATTAATCGACGATACTAGTTGAAAATTATTACGATATTTTATATTCTGAACACCAATCATAACAGATCACAACACAAGGAACACAAGAACCATTCGTATTTTGTTATTATTGTGGCAACACTGAAATATTCAAATACCGCCATAATAATATATATTCAAAAAAATGTCTCAAATAACTGTTCCGCTCAGTTCTACAGGAAATATTTATTGAAATTAATAATCATACTTATTGTATAAACAAAAATATATAAACATACATTGTATTCTATAATAATTAAGCTTTATAAATTAGACTTGCAAAGCTTTACAAATAAGTTACTAATAAAACACCTATATAATGCTATTATTGCATAAATGTACCAGACTGAATATGAGGCCAGACATTCTGTAAGTAAGGTGCACATTGCGATGGACACATTCCACTCTTAATGCATGTATCTAAATTAGCACTACCGCAGCTTAAACAACTCGAACAATCTGAAATTATATAAAATTAACATAAATAAACGAAATTCAAGAACTTTAATCTTCGGTTGCTTACTTGGTGGTTGTAGAGAAGTGTCTGGTTGAATTATGAATCTATTTCCATTTTGCCACAAATGAGTGGAATCTTGGATATTTTGGCATGATGGGTAATACCTTTGATTATACAAAACTGGAGCACAAGGACTTTCTCTGGGAGGGCTAGGAATATAGACAGGAACTTGAACTGGATGTGGAACTGGGATGCGTATTGGAATCTGAACTGGATGTGGAACTGGGACGTGGATTGGAACACGAACTGGATGTGGAACTGGAATGCGGATTGGATATGGAACAGGTCTCTCAATTATTAAAGGCTTATTACATTGAGAAGAACAAATCCTCTTTGGTTCTTGCGTACAGTGCAGCGTTTTATTCTCGTAATGACATTGCTGCGGCGGAAGAACTGTACAACAATTACTGCTGTTTCTGGTATCAGCAATGTTTGTATGTACAATGTTCATAACTGTAGAATTTATAGGAATATTAATGTGGTTGACATTGTGTATTTCGTTTGTCATATTCAGGGTGGTGGTAATGTCTATCGGATTGGTGCTTCCCCTTGAACTGCTTTCGACGTATTTCACCTGCAGGGGGTTGCAAGTCCTCGGTCTACATCTTCTTTGACGGTACGAGCACGAATTAAAACAGTCGTTTACACAACTGTTGCTCCCACAGCCAGACCTGCAGACGTTTACACATCCGTTGCATTCCCTGGTTTCACAGCAATTTCCTCCACTGCAGTAAGAGCAATTGTTTCCATTGCATTGGGTACCACAGGATTCCCCTTCGCAAATATCAACGCCTTGTACGACATTATTCTCTTCTAGAACGGCTGAAACGAAAGCCGTTAGCGAAAGCAATAACACTACTTTGAACATCTCGACAGGAAGAACTACGGAACAAAAAGTTTTAACTTCTTTTATAGATCATAAAAACGTAGCCTTGTATGATATTTCGAAAATCAATTGCTACACTTGTTTATTAAACGTTTTGTGCTGCTGTGGGTCAAGAAAACATTTCTAACGAATACAAAATTGATAAAAAGAACGATTTGTAATAAATTTTGTTATTTTTATTGACCTATTTTTTTATTTTAATTAATATTTTGATGGTTTGAACTAATGAATGTGTGCATACTAAGTTATTGGACACAATAAGACTCGCTGTTTGAAAATCATCACACTATGACCGCGGGCACCATGGTGCCCGCCGATGGCTTTACGTGCATTATGTGTATGTCCAATTTTAAATTTACCTTGAAAAAGTAAATGGTGCAAAAAGGTTGGGGACCCCTGGTCAATAGCTTTAAATGTTTGAAATTTCTAAAATAATATATAAAACCTCATCTTCATAATATGTATTTATAAAATTAATTTACGCAACAAAAGCTTGTGGAAAAGTATTAACAAAATTCTAATTGCAAATAATATTCCGTGTAAATAAATTTTTAACTAAACTTAATTTCTGCACAATTGTATCTTTGAGTTAACTATGTATTTCATGATTTAACTATATAGTAAAAAATACTCAAAATAAAACAATATCCCTGAGAATAGTATTTACAATATATTACACAACTGCATACCAAGTACAGTTAGAAAACATATATTGAATATAACTGTATTTTAGTAAAGACTTAATATTATATATCAAGAGATTTAATTAAAACGATATTTGAGTTATAAAATGAAGCAGATTGTAATGGTTTCTTATTTTTTATTTTATTATAATTTGCTTTATACGTATTCATTTTTGTTTATTTATGTAAGACGACCGTTACAATAAATATTATTAATAGAACAGGGGAATAAAAATTAATTTATACTATTGTTTATTGCAAGTTACATTAATGCAAAACTAAGGTTACTTAAACACAGTAGAATTGGCCTTGATTGATGCTGCACCTAAAGTTATCGGCGCCTAATCTATTCTTAAATGGCATCAAATAATTACGGCAAGAAAAGGTGCACATGTTCGAATTCAAGCATGACCTGGCACTAAATCTTCCGTGACAGTATAGGCAATTGGAACAATCTGAAAATAGACACGTTATTAAATTAGCTAATTATGTGATGTAATATTTTGTCGTACCTTCGTATGCTCCGTTACTGTAATTTTCATCAATAAGGAATCGCTGATCGGTCTGCCTATATATGGATGCATCATCATAGCTTCTGCATGATGGCATTTGCAGTCCATTATACATAACCTGTCTGCAATGGTTATTCTGTTGTTGTTGTTGTTGTAGATATACTGGGTATGGGTAAGGTACTTTAACAGAGTAAGGAACTTTTACTGGGTAAGGGACATGGACTTGGTAAGGAACATTAACTTTGACCTTCTGAATTACTGGTACTTGATGATATCTGTCAACGTAAACGGGCTTTTCTATATATTTATATACAGGTTTCTCTACAATTTGTTTTTCTGGATGATGAACGGGTACTGGCACTGGAACGCGAACGTAAATTGGTTGAGGATGGTATACAACAACCGGTGAATGGCAATCAGGTTTACATCTCTTTTCTATTTCAGTTTTACATGTTACGTTATCAGACGAGTGGAAACTGCACTCCCTTGGTTGCACCTGCATGCAACAACCTGAAGCATTTAGGTTCGATGTTTGCGGATTTGCATGACTTATATTATTGATGTTCGTATTGTTAATTATTATAGGAATATAAATCGTATTGTTTAATTGAGATGACACCGTTACGTCTGCTGTGAGGTTCATGGACTTTTGTTCTTTTTCTGGTAAACGTTCTTGTTTAATAAAAACAGGCACTTTGATGATTTTCGCTTTCGATGACTTCCTTTTGCCGCACGAGCGGTTACATACTACGCCACAATTCCGTTGGCAAGAGATGCTTGCGCATGATGACATACAATTATTACTGCATTCATTTTGACCACAGTCATCGACATCTTCAACATCAATTTCTTGATTTAACAAGTAATCATATTTTTCGTGGAATTGCCTATTAAACTCCTCAACGGTACTGGATCCTGACGAAATTAAAACTATAAAATACTTCTAACTAGATTATAAATAAATTACCTTCCGATTGACTTTGCAATTCTGCGGAAACGCACAGCAGAAACGCCAATGCACAAAACACCCTCATCTTTAACCACTTGCAAACTTCTACATAGATCCGTTAATGTTTCTTTATATAGAACTAAAATTTATCTAATTTTATCGTTATATATTTGATAATATAAACATTTTTTATGCAAATCTCTACACGTAATGTCCTTCAAAATAGCATGCAAAAGTTGTATAATTTTTACGATTAATTTAAAATTCGGACCCAATAAAAAATGTTTACTGAGATGTTATCAATATTTGTTAACGATGGAAATGCTTCTAAATAATAAAAATTATTAAATTCTTATTCTAAACAGTATTCGTTTATAATAAAGTAATTTAGTATAGGTGATTTATGATGTTTTCATATACTACTGTTTTGACTCAAAACAATTACCATTTTACTGTAAATATTTAGTTTTTATTCATAAATTCTTTAAAAAGTTCTAATTTTCATTTACTATACAAATTATATAATTATTACAAAATAATTGTGAAATGATTGCGGGCACAGATGCCTTGAACTTGCAGGGTCAATAAACATGAAGAAAGATAAGAAATCTAAAAATGTGTATTTTAAATGTTTAAATACATACATTCTGATTATAGTTTGGAAGTAGTTCCATATATGCTTTCCCAAAATTTCATTCTTTCGGCCTCGGGGTTCACACAGACTTTCAAGGTTTCCCCGATATCAATAAACTTGAAATCATTTTCTTTGACTGTCGGCCATTCCACCGGAAACATGTCGCACAACTTAGCATTATTGGGGTTTCCGGTTTTTGCAAAATTTGTCCAATATCTGGTTAACCTTTTGATTGTTATATCTTCAATACTCCCTTTGGTAATATCTGGAGTTACTATCATTTTAAATATGTATCCCAATTCATCAGCATGACATACACCTACAATTATATTCAGTATAATGCTGTTAGCAATTTAACAATAAGAATTAACCTTTATCCTTGATTTGTGCTAAATTTTTGTAAACATTTAATGAAGACTCCATGGAAAAGCGGTAGAAGTAAATAGGAGAATTGGAAGTAGATAAATGATATTTAACCGAGTTGTAAATTTCTCTTAAAAAGAAATTATCCGTTTGGAGCTGAAAAGTTTAATATTATTATAAATTAATGAAAAAAAAAATCTAATTGACCTGGTAATAATTGTCAACTGTTGAGTCGCAAACTTCTTCTTGTCCAAAGTAGAATTCCTTTATTTTATTTGCAATTTCTTGAGATTTGGGCGTATTAGCTTCAATATTCATTGAGTAAGGTATGGCTGTCTCGAAATTTTGAATCCTTAACATTGGTTTATTCGGACGAGAGCGTTTTTCAATGATTTCCGAAAGCATTCCTTCTCTGGTATTATATCCCATCATCATTGGCACTTTGTTATAATTTCCTGAAATCATCAAGTTGATAGGGTGGTCTGGAAGAAAGGTGTTTTCGCCCTTAAAAGCTTCAACAACAGGCCCATATGGTCTAACATAGGAGGCTGTGAATGTCTGTAAAATAGAAGGGAACATATATTTTTTTATGAATTGGCGCTAAGTTATCAAATTCTTACATCATCAATTTTAAATTGGATATCTATAATTTGTTCTTTTGTAGCTTTTTGGAGAACTTCCAAAATATCCTTTTCGTCTGTACTGTGACATCCGAGAAGCCCTGCAAGCTCTCTCCCGCATCTTCTCCCACACGCCCAGATGTTTGATGCGCATCCACTTTGAGCAATAGCTTTATGAAATAGATTTTTTGCCATCGGCGATAACATCAGGTAATGAACTGCTGATCCACCAGCGCTCTCTCCAAAAATGGTTACATTTTTAGGATCCCCATTAAAATTATGAATATTTTCTTTTATCCATCTTAGGGCCATTACCATATCCTTTAAGCCGGCATTTCCAGGGACATCCAACTCAGGATCCTCCAAACTCAAAAAACCTTAAATTTTAAAATAGTCATATCAACAACTTATACACTTCTAATATTATAATGTATATACCAAAAACACCCAAGCGATAGTTAATAGTAACTAAAACTATGTCTTCAGCGACGAGAAACTCAGGACCATACATTTCACGTTTACTAGATCCGCTGGTGAAACCACCGCCATGGATCCATACCATGACTGGTTTCAATATGGTTTCATTATTTGGTAAAGTTGGAGTGTACACGTTCAAGTACAAACAATCTTCTGATCCAATTACATTTTGAAATACCATATGACGGGAGTAGCTTTCGTCCGCTTCGACAGTAGCATCCCTAATACCTGACCAAGAATCTGGTGGCAAAGGTGCCTGAAATACAATTAATTTGAAAAAATTTAGTCAAATTATCTGTGACGACTAAATTAATAATACTACATTTATTGGCTAAAATACATCAAATAAAAAGAAACATTGGATGTGGATGTTGATAAGGAGGAAACATTTATAGGGTCGTAATTATTTTAAAAAAGAAACAAAAAAAATATAAATATATCCTATTATGAATATTACATAATTTCAAGACTAAATATCCACGAAATGCAGTTACTAGAGAAAAATTTAAATTTAACTGTAAAACTGGTTGCATGAATAATTTTTAAACAAAATAGTGACGTGTTTTCACTATTTTTTTTAAGGCGTAGTGTTGATGATGATAAGGTTGTGTCAATAATAATAATAACAATATTTACTATACGATTGCTATATATTACGTAATAATATACTCATCTATAAAAATAGTTACCTTGAATCGGAGGTTGCCTACTGGAGGCTTTCCATAAGGAATCCCATGGAACGAATAGAATTTTGAGCGATTACAGTCCTCGTCAACACTGCCAATCAACTTTCCCTCTTGCACTGTTACAGTAGGTCCAGACATTACGTTAAATAAACGTGGTTCCAATTCGAATATGAATATGAAAATATACTACTTTCTCGCAGTGGAAGTGGAACTGATCTCTTAGTTGCGCGTACTAACGCAGCTATGCATCCTTGATATTGCACCTCACCCATATCGCAATCTTGTAATTGTCCATACATTATTATCGTATTTAGAGATTACGTTTTTTTCTTTCAATTAAAGTATTCTCAATGAATGATTTTTTTTATTATTTTACTTATAGAATGTCGATTTGATTTGAAATCTACCATTAAAAAAACAATAATATGATTATGGCAGATAATAGTTTTTTTTTGGTTGATTGGGAGATTCCTTCATGGCCCTAAATATTATTAGTTCAATGCTAGGCCCAGGGCCCCCAAATATTCTTTTATTCTACATGGACCCCCTATTAAACAATTTTTATCGACCACGAATTCCATAGATCTGAAGTCAATTTTAATAAGTTAATAAATTCTAAAATATGTTTAGTTTCTTAAAATTATAGTTTTATTTATATTTTACGTATAGTTAAAAATATAGAAAGTAATAAATTGGCAGTTTAAAAGCTGCTCATACTTCCTAATTCAAAATTTGTGTTACATGTGTGTCCAATTAAAAAAAAAACGGAATGAGTCTTGGCAATATGCAGAGGGTAAATAACCAAACATATCAAACATTATTTATTAGAATAAAAAACAACTACATAGCATATATTGTTTATAATATATTTTAATTGTAAAAAAAAGAAATAAAGCGAAATTATTTTTAATTTATTCTTTCCTACTGAGTGCTGCAGTTGGTGTTTCATCCACAGTCTCTATAGATTTATCAGATTCGTGTGTCTTATGGCTCCTTTTTTTCGAGTTTTTTTCTGAATTAAGTTCTATTTGCATCATATTTTCCATGGGATTCATACTTTCCATTTGATATCCTGTATTTTGCATTATATCAGGCTGGTAATATGGTCCGTGTCTATACATAGGATCAACATTGTATCCACTGTTTTGGTAGCAATTGGCAGAACAAGATTTTGGTGGATTTCCCCCAGATACCGTGTGCGAATAGCAACCTTCGCAGTTAGGTTGAGGTACATTGCATTGGACGTATGGCCAGGCCGACGTATATGAACATCTAGGTTGTGGTTGAGGGATGTAAGATATCTGCTGATGGCAATCGTTTTCTTGGTCACAAACTTGATGCGGTTCAGCGTGCATTATTGATGTTTGACACATATCGCCGCATACTTTTTTTCTGTAGTGATAACACTTGGCGAATGGATACATGGGTATTGGTACACATTGCCTAGGTCCAATTACTTTACAGCAATTATTTCCTTCGTGCGATTCGCTAGAAAAACTATCATATCTATGGTACTCAGAGGGAGCGCTCGATTCCACAGTTATATTGTTTAAATTAGTATTGTTGACATTTATTGGAATATCGATGATGTTGGTATTGTTGATTACATTGTTTAAATTGATCACCGTTGTTATGTTATGTCTTATGTCTGAACTGGAGTTACTGTATTGTCTTATTAGACCACCTCGCTCGACGGCCGTAACTCTTTTGTTACATGTTTTCCTGCAGTTTCTCCTGCACGATGAAGTTTTACATTTGCTGTGGCAAGTTTCATGGCAACAGCTTCTAGTATTGCAAGAGTGAATTGGGGTAGATCCACAACAAGTGCTGCACCCGTCGCATTCTTCGTCCATACATTCATTGCAATCACAATCATCGCATTCATTGTAATCTTCATCACAGTCTAGTGATCTTTTCTGTCTTCTTTTCATGCATTCTACATATGCAGAATACTCTGTATCGACACAGGTTTCTTCTTCATCTACTTTCGTTTCACACTTACCTTTTGCTTCCACAAGAGATAGCATAAATAAGCTAATTCCAAGTGCCACCAGCAAAAGCTTTAACTGTAAATAAATATGTAATTAATAACTATATTAAAAAAAATATAATTTGTTTAATATAAAGTTGTTTAATAATATTGAATATTTTTTATTTGTGTTGATTAATTTTCAAGAAATTGACAATTTGTTATTTATTTATGCTATCGTTGATAAAATTATGTATAAAAAAAAATATAAATGGGTACCTGTTTCATGTTGTCTTCCTGTATTTAAAAACTATACGATTTCACCAATACGATTAAGGGTGTGCAACATGCGTGCAAAGAGTTTGTATCGATGAGAGGAACTTCGATACAAGTGTGCCGTTATTGCAATATATACATGCGTTTTATGGCTATATCCTAGAATGGCTTAAGATAAGCTATAATCTGTGAAATCAATTTTAACAATTGTTTTGTTTCCTTTTCCGAACGAAATGTGTGCGCACAAATACATAGGTGTTTATTCGACCCAAATAGTGCATAGTAAAATACACAGAATTGATGTCACACTGTGACAAACAATGCAATCTCAATATTTGAGATTATTTCATATCTGCCCTAAAATTTGTTTCCCATTAGATGTAGGTCACTCTCAATCTTCGTTGTTTGCTTTTCTCTTACGAAAATTCAATTTTTGTACATTTTGTACTTTTGCAATATATTTATCTAATATACTTATATGAGTCATGTCACAATTTAAATAATACTAGATGCTGTTTCTGTATTCTAAAGCAAAATCTCAATCAACCCATCTGTTTTATTTCAATATAAGCAAATATTTTAATGACGATTTTATTTAACAAATGTTTAAAAATGTTTTTATGTATCATGTGGAAAACAAAATAATATTTTGATATCTTTTTAACAATGCAAATATATAAAGTCATTTTTAGTTTATTACTTAAAATGTATCGAAATGCCGTAATAATGTATCTCAGGGTGAACTTTATGTTAATATATCAGATTTTTCGAATGGTTGCTGGACTAATCTTTTAGTTGCCCCCTGAACAATGGTATTGTAACAGCTTATTGTCCTAGTGGATAGATTGATGAATTTGAAATGAAAATATAATGGCCAACTTTAGAAACTACAAATAGAAGGAAATTATATTATCAACATTTATTTAACGTTAATTATTGTTGTAATTTTAATGAGAATAAAACATATAATACAGTTTGAACTATTTAATACAGAGTAGAACAAGTGCTGCAGCCTGAAACAAAACGTAAATAGATCTAGATTTAATTTTGTAAAATAATAAATAATTTACCTGGATTAAATATGTTGTAGCACTTTCCTGAACAACCTCCAAGTGGGCACGGTGACTTGCAGCTTCCTAAAATAAACAGAATTTAAGATGATTGCAATAATTCATGCGTCTCATTTTATGGTTGATGCAATAAACGTTATTATTATAAAAAAATGCATTAAATTAGTTATGTAATATTATCACTAATAAAATATATAAATACCTTGTAACCGGTTTTGTTGATATGACGTTTGCATTGACATTGGCATTTGCATTGACATCGGCATTTGCAATGGCATTTGCCTGGGCATTTGCATTGAACTTTGCATTGGCATTTGTACTGGCATTTGCATTGGACTTTGCATTGGCATTTGTACTGGCATTTGCATTGGACTTTGCATTGGCATTTGTTGTACTGGCATTTGCATTTGCTTTGAAATTGGCATTTGCATTGACATTGGATTTGTCAGTTCCATTGGCATATGCATCGGTGTTTGCATTGGCATTTGCAACGAGTTTTGCATTTGCATCTGATTTTGCATTTGCATTGATCTTCCACTTAATATATTGCATTCGTATCCTTGACATGGCCGGTCTAGAAGTAATATAGTTTTTGAAATAAAAAAGAAATTTTAATATTTATAAATTTAATCTTACTAAAGTTTCCATTACAGTTGTTGTCATAGCACGGATTGTAACCTGAAAAGAAAACAAATTAGATTAGACATTGTTGTATATCAACAAAGACATTTTTTACTGTTCAAATGCATGGAGCACGCTCCAACGACGAACAAAGCAAGAACCAGGAATTTTGACATTATGTATGGAACTGTTTTAAGATCATCCATATTTGCACTTTAAATACTGTTCTTAAATCGGTAAGGTCATCTCGATTTTAACAATTTTTTTTTGCCCAGACGAATAGTATTAATAAAAAATAATCTGAAAAAAAGGTCATTTTTATCGTTAAAATTTGATGATAACGAATTTCGTTAAAACATCAACCGTTTTATTTAGATATATAACGGTTACATAGAAACTGCACGTTATACAAATTAAATGAAATTTTAATTTCTACTGATTAAGAGTGAAGATTGCCTTATTTAAATCTGCACACAATTTTAGTAAAAATATATAAGTTTTGTAACATAAAATTTCTGTAAAAAAAATATTTCCAAAATAATACTCTTTTATAAGTAAATTAGGAAATTTTTTAACGAATTATCAATTTCCGTTTATCCTAGACTCTCACTAATTTAATCTTTTGTGGATGATGATCATTGGCTGATTATCAATTAAAGCAAGACATTTGTTAATATTATATAAATTATTTAATTGATTTTAATATGTTAGGATGCCCCAACTATCCGACAATTGTCTATTTCATTCTGATTTATCTGTTTGATGTTTCATCGTTCTCGTGTTTTGAATACCTCTATTGTGGTTGAGTATCAACAATAACGAGCCGTACATCTGGATGTTGTCCTTGTAGTGAGGCCAATGTAATAATGGAAGTTTCATAAGTTACGTCTACACGGAATCGAATATTAGAATTTTAGAATATAAAAATAAATCAAAAACATCATTGCATCCGGGGTTTCTGTGAAATTAAGGTTATCTATGATGAAATATTTTAAAGAATTACTTGCAATAATAATCAAAAGGAAGTTTCACAAGATTAAAAGATTAAAAGATTTTTTTATTGACACAAAGGTATATTGACCGCAGTTTTTAATTATAAATCATTAAATGTATTAAACTTACTGATATTTGGATATTTGGACATACAGTAAAACGCCGATATACGTGATAATTCGAGAAAGTTAAAACACAGATAATTGAAAATCTCTGATAATATAAATAATACTTCTATTTGATTTGAAAACTTAATATCTATTGATATTACAAATACACATTTGTGACCATTTTAAAAGGTAATCTGTAATTTTCTTATGGTTTTCTTTGTAAACCTTGGCCCACCTTTTGAACATACCTTATGGGGTATTATTATAATTTTCTAGAAAATGTACAGGGATAAGGAATTACCATTTAATTTGGTTGGTAAGTTAAGGGATGAATCTTGATAGGCCATACCATCCGATGTTGATTCAGTTGACGAAGTTGTCTAAAAATTTGTTGGGTCTAGAAATTTAGGAATTTCTGGCTCCTCAAAAAGTTAAACCGGATAATCGGCGTAAAAATTCTTTATTTCTCATTTATAGTATAATAGTTTTAAACTGTGTTGGTATTTTCAAAAATACATTACTTTATTGAACATTTATTATATACAAACAAAAATACCTATTAATTTAAACTAAATAATTTGATTTAATCATCAGTTTCATCTTCCTCTTCTTCTTCTTCCTCCACTTCTACATTTGTAACTTCTTTTTCAACTGGTTTTTCTTTTGTATATTTTATCTTTTTAACGCCTCTCGTATTTTTATAGACATCGGCGAGCGTTGGATGCAATGTGTAGGAAGTCGAATCAAAATTTGCATGAGGTGCGAACGAATCCAAACCGAAAGAGCCGGCATGAGGTGCAAAAGCATTGAAACCGGAAGATCCTGTATGAGATGCAAACGCATCGAAACCGGAAGATCCTGTATGAGGTGCAAACCCATTGAAACCGGAAGATCTTGTTTGAGGAGCGAACGCATCGAAACCAATAGAACCTCCTGCATGAGATGCAAACGAATCTAATCCGGCAGATCCTGCGCTTCCGTAAGTTGAAAATTGGTTGGAATAGCCTCCTCCTAAGCCTCCCGCCATGAATGGTTGCTCCCCAATGGGATTGTACGCGGGAACTGCACTCTCGTACTGATTAGGAACCATAGTGTTACCACCGTATATGGCATTCTGATCGTAAAATGGGGTTGGATTTACCATTGGTTTAGGTTGGTTTCTTCCGTAAGAACCGCTGAACAATGAGGAGAACAGTTGATTTGATCCGTATTGCTCGATTGGTTGAGCATAGTACGGAGATTGTTGGCATCCGCTGGTGCATCCTGGTAATTAATTTAATATTAAGTTACTTCGAAAAATACCAGATTATAATTCCTTCACTCACCCTGTGTGTATGTTTCACCGCAGTTGGATTGGCATCCTCCACCGATGGAACATGGGTTGCCGCATGGTACTGTTCAACATCAAATATATTATATCGAAGATCATCCGCATATTTATTTTTCACTTACCGTAAGCCGCAGCAAACGCCACGAGGCAGGAGAGTAAAAGAACAACTTTCATTGCAATATTGTTACATGAATACAGTGGGTTACATTTTTTTGGAACTTCCTTAAATAGATTTTGTCGTCGTAAGGTTATCGCACAGAAATTAAACTAGGCGGACAGTTGATAATCATGATTCTTAACAAAAACATTGATTATAGCAAATTTAACTGCGTTTATATAACATGATATTCCTATATAGAGAACAGATATGAACTAAATACTGATCAGGTATTTCAGTTAACCACAGTCAGATAGGTGATTTTTATTTGGGCTTCTTATTTTATTGTAACATTATCAAATATATGGAATGATCATGTGATGTATTTTTTTTATTTCTTTAAAATCTTTCACTAGAGAGCATTACGTAATTTCGATGACTCGATTCTTATCTAGCAGATGGAAAACTCAACAATATTATTTTACACTCATTTACATAAAAACAAAACTATTAATTACGTTCAAAATAATGCAATTCTTAATTTTTATTCATTTCATAAAATATAAGTTGAATTTTATATTACCTCCTTTTTTTTTACTACAGTTCTTAAAAGTACATTTGCCGCATAATATGTAGGAAATTTCGAACAGATTTTCGTAGTGTTGTTTTGTTTACAGTTCTTCCTTTATTTTTTTTATGTCGTATAATGAACGATTGCCCGGCGCAGTATCGTGGGTATGGCAACAAAAATAAAATCAAAAATAATTTTATTACAAACATAATTATTGGCCCTTTTACAATTTGCAAGGGCACAAACATTTATCTTATTACAAATCTCTCAAGATAGTTGTTTTGGGTTTGCATCGGTTTATATTTCTTACACTTTAACAATATTATGGAGATAATTGCCGAAGCAATTAAAATATATTAGAGGTCTCTATATATGTTTGTTTTTCTATGGTATTGGCTGCAACGAGTTTGTCACGGAGTTCCCGCACTTTTTTGACGGCCTCCTTGTACCCATTGAGTCCGCGTATCTCCTGCCAGAAGTCACTTATTTCACTTTCAGAGACCTCATTTTCGGTTGGTTGGGTCGGTTGTAGCACATCATTTTTCAATATTTGTTTAATAAACTGCTGATGAGATCCATCGCGATGCTCTCTAACGATGATGATAGGGGGATTTTTTTTATTCTTCTTTGTTGATTCTATATCCATTTGTTCCTTCATATCAAATAGTACGGCGTATCTATTGGATAAGGGGATTGGCTGGTTAAAAACTATTTCACTACCATCCACCCAATTTACCACGCATCTTTGTTTTCAATTTATTTCATAGATCATAAAAAAAAATCAATATACTTTTGTATCAATTGTATAATTTCAAGAGAAATAATTTTGAAAAGTTTTCAACCAATACAATTTATCGGTTTCGGTAAGATAATATAGGAAATTCAATAAATTGACTCTTACGAGTCAATTGCAAATTTAATGTAATTTTTATTTGAATTATAGCAAATCTCAATGTATTCTAATTACTCTAGGAGTTCAAGTTATGAAATAATAAGTCTATTATATAAGAATTAAATAATAATAAATAGTAAAATTATTCAGATTAGATTGATTTATGTATATACAAATATGTAATAACAAAAGTTTAGTGAACGAACAATAAGATAAATACGCTGCAATGCGTTTACAATACTACTGCACACAACTCGAATAGTTAAGTACATCCTTGATTATATGATTTATTTTAGTGTGTGTTTCACATGATTTTCTTTCTTTTTTTTTCTGTTAACTATATCTATAGATATACTTGCTGATATGAAAACTAGTACGAAAATAGTTTTCATTACCAAATAATAATATTTTGTAATCATTAATTAATATATTGATGATAAATGCACGGAGAAACTAACAAATGAGAATTTAATGTATAATCTGTATTTACTCATATAAAGTATACAGTCTCATTCCAAAAAAAACTGCATATCACCATCTTATCAAAGGTGAGATAACTTCGAAAATCGAAATAAATAATCGTATAAATAGGTCGAGAGTATATGCACCAATATTAGATTTGTTATTCCATAGATAAACATTAGAAAGTAAAAAATAATAAATAAATATTAGTATTGAACATTATATAATTGTAAGTTTTAGTTTCTCAATAAATCAATAATTATAATATTTATTGCCACAAACTTACAATAAACCTTATAAAAAAATTAATTAGTAACCAAAGATGCAGAATTATCAATCGGTAGTCAGTGCAAATTTCCAAAATATAATCCACAACGACGAAAAATCCCCAATTTTCTTTAATAATAATAAAATTTATTGTAAGAAACACATAAACAGATAAAAAATTAAACATAATAAGAATGAAACAAAAAAAGAAGAAAAACTATTACAAAGGACAATTGACCATAGTTCAAAACTTAAAATAATATTATTGAAAATTTTTTGTAACTTTGCGGTAATGTTGTTTGTACTCGCTTTTTATAATGTTATTTTAATTTTTAATGACGCAACGTTTTAATGTGTAATTTTGCATCCTTGAGCGTCGTTTAGCAGATAAGCGTGGAATTGCAATTTGTGATTGCGTCGAATCCACATTGAACGTACGATATTTGAGATGGACAGTCCAACGGTATACGTGAAGCAAGGAAAACTTCTTGGTAAATTTGATAAAGATTACCATGGCAATAAATTCATTGCCTTCTATGGTATACCGTACGCCAAGCCTCCAGTGGGACCTCTTAGGTTTAAAGTAAGTTGTCAAATGAATTTGTAATTGAATAATTTACATATAGAACGTTTATTTTGAAAGTGGTGTAAGTCCTTTCTTTTTAAATGAGATTTGTCATTAATTAAAGAAAAAAATGTACTTACAAGTGGTCAAAATAAACAGTCCATATTTTGCAAATTTGGTGAATACAAACAAAAATAATGCTTAATTTAGGCTCCTCAACCGCCAGAGAGTTGGGGTGAAGAAATTCGAGATGCACGTAATGAAGGTGATCAAAGTTTCTCTAGAAACATGATCACGCAGGAATTGATGGGTTCCGAAGATTGTCTTTCCTTGAATGTGTTTACAAAAGATTTACCTAAAGTTGAATCGAAACTCAAACCGGTAATGCTATGGATTCACGGTGGTGGATTCACTAGCGGCTCAAGCTCGAGTCAATTCTACGGTCCAAATTTTCTCATAACAGAGGACATAGTTTTAGTGACAATCAACTATCGTTTGGGCATATTTGGTATATGATTTTTAGTTTCAGTTTTAAATTGTTTTAATCATATAACGTCATAGGTTTTCTAAGTTTCGATGATCCAGAATTGGAAGTCTCGGGAAATGCGGGCCTTAAGGACATGGTCATGGCTCTCAAGTGGGTACAGAAGAACATACATAACTTCAATGGCGATCCTAGCAATGTTACTATATTCGGAGAAAGCGCAGGAGGAGCCGCAGTTCATCTACTAGTGCTATCACCAATGGCAAAGAATCTTTTTCATAAAGCTATCGCTCAAAGTGGTTGCGCTAATAGTATTTGGGCATGCGGCAAGAAAGGCGCCAAGGAAATTATCGAATATTTTGGTTTGACGTGTAAAAAAGATAAAGATGTCTTGAAAGCTTTACAGAATATGACGAAAGAGCAATTATACGAAGCGCAAGAATCAATTAAAGAGGTATTATTCAATTATGAAGTAAGAAAGTTACAATACAAATTTTATCCATTTAGGTATTCAAGGCTAATGAGCTCAGACCGTTTTCTCCAGTAATAGAAAATCCAAATGTTAAAGGCGATGTTTTCCTGGCTGAGCATCCTAATAAAATCATGTCCATTGGGAATTATAATCATGTACCTTTAATAATGGGTTACACGAGTGAAGAAGGCATGTTTTTTGCAGCAACTAAAAAAATGTTGAACGCGGATGGAAAATTTACAAATTTTGAAAATGTTGTTCCCCATCATCTTAATTTGGAGTTGGGCAGTACAAAATCAAAGGAAATTGCTGAGCGCATCAAAGACTTCTACTATAAAGGCAATAATGATCTCAGTTCAATTGATATTTTCTATAAGGTACAGTTGATAAAATATTACCTGTCCATTTAATTAACTGTATTTTATCTAGCTTCAATCGGCCAACTGGTTTACAAGGGATATTTTAAATTGCTTTAAACATCATGTGGCAACTAACAGCTATCCAAGTTACCTTTACAAGTTTGCTGCGGAAACATCTTTAAATATATTTAAAATTATGTGCGAAATCAAAGAAAAAGGTTAACAATTAGAAATTGTTGTATTTAATACGATGTTGTATTTATATGATATATTTGTAGGTGCTGCTCATGGAGACGATCTGGGTTATTTATTTACAGGAATGTTCTCTCCCGCTATTAAGCCAGGATCTATTGAAGAGATTTGTATGAAAAGACTTGTGAAATTGTGGACATCTTTCGCAAAGACTGGAAAACCAGAAATCACTGAAGTCGATTGGAAATGCGCAGAAATAGATCAGATAAATTATTTAAATTTTGCCGAGAAAGTTACGTGTGAGAAGAATCCAGAAACGGAAATGATTAATTTCTGGAACGATATTTTCTCATTGTAGAAAAAAAAATGAATTTTAGTTTAGATTATTATATGCACGCGAATGAGGTTCAACATATGGACCTTCAGCCAAGTCGAATGACAATGTCACATTGATGAACAGATTGTGAATAAAATCATAGGACATAAAAAAAGATTATTATATTTAGTTACAAAATATATTTCAATATGAAAATGTATGTATTTATTTATAGTTTTGAATTATTGCTTGGTCTCATTGCGTAAATTTGATCCCAGAATTCCATTCTTTCTCTTTCCGGATTTACGCCGACAGTCAAGTTCTCGCCTAAATCCATAAAATGAAGGTCTTGCTTTTCGACGTTGGGCCATTTTACAGGGAAGAGTTTGCTTGTTTGAGGTGGATTTGGATTGCCATACCTCGCAAAGTTTGTCCAAAATTGAACCATACGCTTCATACTGATATCTTCGATTGAGCCAGGTTTTATCTCTGGTGTAATCATCATTTTAAAAAGGTAGCCAAGATCGTCAGCGTGACAAGCGCCTTTATCGGTAAGCTTTCCTAATACTTTATATATGTTCAGTTGCGAAATGCATGAAAACCTATAAAGGAATATTGGCTGATCCGAAACTGCCATTTGATTACGAATCGCTTCAT